TGAATAAGTACATGTAGTGTATGTAGTGTATCATTTTTCGTTAGAGCCATGGGTAAATTTCCTGATGGAGTTGAGTTGAAATATTTCAAAGATAAAGTTTTGTGTCAATTCCAACCCAAATCCAGGTGAAGGTGATGGAACTCTAAAATTGTCCAAACTTGGACCACCCTAGTAAACATGTGTCATCACAGTCTAAATCTCTTTTGTGGATTGTGGAAGCAAGAACTGCAGCAGAGCCAAATTGTACCCCTACATCTGTTGTTGATATTACAGTCTTGTGTTATGGTATTTGCCAGAAGTGTCACCATTGTACTATCTGTCAATGGATACAAAAGCAAAGTCATGAATACTGAGACTTTGTTGAACTATTGTATCCCTTGTTCAATAAATTGGAGTAAAAAATCAGAAGCTGACTTCAATCTATGGCTTCCTAACCATGACAACTGCAACAAGTATCACAATTGTTCAGCTGTAGCCATGGAACCAGCTTTCTTTAACTGAACACAATACAAGGTTTACCGGCTTTCTTAGGGATGGAGACAGTAAATCGTTCTAAACTGTCTCTGAAGCAGATCCTCCTGCATACAAGGAAATACAGTTATTTCAAAATTGGAATGTACAGGACACACTCAAAAGCACATGGGTAAGCGCCTGATGGATAAAATGACTCAACTAAAGACAACCACTTTTCTCCACCATGGAAAGGGAATAGGTGGCGCCGACCAACATACAAAAAACAACACTCCATTTTTACCTGATTTGGAAAAGGTCCATCTAAAACCACAGCTCATCCCTACAAAACGAAATAACATGAAAGAAACACAAAGACTGATATCCCAATATGTAGGGAATACAATAATGGATTCTGCAGTCATGTGAAATGTAGATACAAACATGTATGCAGCTTATGCCATCAAAATCACCCAGAAACTAAACATCATCAGCAACAAGGTGATTTGGTTCAGGGAAACAGAAAATATGCAGCATTTTTCAGCAGACACAAAAATATGTTCTGCAAGAACACAACATGAACAGTATTGAACTTTGAAATATGACATTTGGAAAAATAAGTTAAAAGGTGACAAAGATAAAATGTTTATCTTAAAAGGAATTAAAAATGAATTCAAAATTATTTATGGGGACATTATTCTTGTAATCTCGGGTGAATGTAATAAAAATCACTATTCTATGGTTTGTGCGGATAAGACAAAACAAACAAAACAAATTCAATATGAAATCAAAGAAGGTATGAGCTGGTAGATGAAAAACCATTTATAGTTAGTACTTTAGGAGCTGTGCCTAAACCAAATCTGAATGAGGTGAGAGTAATTCATGATTGTAGTTTACCCAAAGTGCTAGGCACAAATATTTTCTGTACCCTGAATGACTGAAAGGAGCGGGGTTCAAAAGCTTTTATCCCTAAATACATCATACCATACGTATGAGTTGTTTTTTTTGCAGAGAATTGTTCTGCAAGGAATGTTTGACAACTTATTATTTTTATAGACAAGGAGCATATGGCATATTGTGTGCATGTAATATATATATGAACATATTCATTTCTTTCCAACGCTCTCAACAATCAGTGGGTGTCATATTTGCTGATGAGCCTCATTATCCTGAAATACAGACCACATGAAATTGTGAACCATGCATGATCTAAAGAGGCACCAATGAATTTCTACGGAAATGGTGAACTCCAATATGAAAGTGCATGAGAAGTGACTTAAAGCTGAGAATTCACCAAGACATGATTATTATAGAATCTAGAAGACCACCCTACCGGACATACTTTGACTTGACAAAGTTACATAATCCCTCAAATCTGCTAGTCATCTCTCTGATGGGGCTTGATGTCACCAGTGAAAACTACAAGTACAATTCCTTGCCATAATTCTAGGAAAAGTCTTTGAGTGTATAAAACAATTTTGGTAAACATTCAATAAATTGCAGTATCTTATCAATAAACTGCAATCAATAAACATATTACACCAACAAATGGATTGGATTCCATTGAAACATCATGATTATTATTGTGGTAGCTCCTGATTGAACATGTGAACATATAATATAGTTCTTCTACATATATGATGCATTATTTATTTCAAATACTTATTCACTGCCTGACATATGTTGTTTAATTCTGCTGCAATGGTGATGCATCATACATTGTGATAGTCATAATGTTACCTATAGGCTGATTGACCTTTGTGACCTTAAGTGTACTATACTAGGCAAAGTAGCCTTAAGGTTATGACCCTGAAATATGAAATGCATTGTTTGCTTATGAGCTTATTGCTTACAAATCAATCATTTTCCCACTATATGTAATATAAAGCGTTGTTCATAATGTATATGAAACTGAAAACTGAAGTAGAAAACTGAAAACAAAAATCAATAGCTCTGACCCAACAGCTAAATGTATCATAAAAAATGATGAACTCATAGTCAACAACAAGAAAACCCACCCAGTTACGCAACTAACACCTGATATAAACAATGCAGAGGTGGCTGCTACAACCAAAGTGGTACATGGTCCCTTGATCTCAACCAAAGCAAAGCACAGATATCAAATACACTACTCCCGCATAAACTCACCTCAATTGGTCAAACTCGCTCTACTTCAAACATATTCTGATCAACTAGTGGCCAAAGCTGACCATAACTTCAAAAATTATACTATTATGGAATCAAACTATAGTTTCAAAGTGCGTGCCTAGAAGGCGCGCAGCTTGACATGGGCACTGTGAGAGAAGGCTACTAGAAAAACTATTACTGAACTTTCAGGATTAAAGTCCAGCCGCAAATACATCAGGAGTAGCAGCACCTGCAAGGGAGGCTGCAAATGAGGATTTGGAAGTTAGGGCCGGGGAACAACAATTGCTGCATGATATAATTAAACAGCATGTACCACAAGCCCCTATACCTGCTGTCTCACCCACTTTACCCCCGGGATTCGACCCACACTTAGCGTTAAAGCTAGACAAAGGTGAGAAGACAATGTATATATGCGATTGGATAAATACAAAACCCGAGATTAGATTCTTGTGATGAGTCTGTGTTAAATGAATCAGAGGGCACCTCAGTTATTTTGAAGCGATCGGGACCAATACGACCAAAACTGGAGTCTATAACCCCACATCAATGGTGCCTGGCCAGTGTGCGTATATTGGCACAAATGATTGGAAGTGCAACTCTTATAGGAGAAGTTACTGACTATCTAGCCTACATGGCTAAGATCTCCCATATGGTACAGTCACTCACCTGGTTGTCTCTACTTAAATACGATAATGGGTATAGGTATCTCCAAGCGCAGCATTAATTCTGCTGGGGAGTCGATGTCCCCTACCTCAGGTCGGAATTAAAGTATAAAGAAACGAGACCAGCAGAGAAATCAGTAACTTCACATGTTGGCAGCCAGGATAAACAAATGAGGTTCCAGACCATATATGTAGCTCCATCAGGGAAACAAGTCTGTGTGCTTTATAATAAGAGGGAGTGTAAGTACAGCCCTTGTAAATTTGAATATATGTGTAGTATGTGCTTCAAAGCTGACCATGGCAGAATCTCTCATGCAAAAAAATAGTATCGCCAGCAAATGCTTTTCATAACTGTCAGACAGCTATTTCCCCTGCAAATGAGTCATGTTTAAATGTTGATGTTTGGGAACACAAGCTGAAATACATAAATGACCCAGATAAAGAATATTTATTAAACATTATAAAGAATGGATTCTCTATAATAGATGAAAATGTGACTCTGAAATCTGTTGAGATGGATAACTATAACTCCGCCACTGGACTGGAAAGTAAATCTAAGGTAGAAAAACAAATTTTAATTCAACTAGCTGAAGGCCATTATAAAATATTTTCAGCTAGCATGAAACCAACTATTGTAAGTGCACTTGGTGCAATCAGCTAACCAAATAGTGAAGATATAAGGATAATTCATGATGCAAGTATGTCCAAGGGGGATGCGCTCAATGATTACTGTTCTATAAACAGATTTACATACCAATCTGTTGATGATGTCGTGGACTTGGTTCTTACCTAGGAAAAATTGACTATTTCCAGATGCTGGACTTAAATGGAAATTCTCAGGTGATTCAAATTCTACTTACATGTATGACACTAGGCTCAGTTTTGGTAGCAGGAGAGCTCTATCTCTATTTCATGGGTTAACGCAGTGTGAAAAGAATGCTATCTTCAATGGATATCAGAGGCCCATTGAGATGATTTTTGCATAATAGCAGACACTTATGAATGCCAAGATAGTATGAATAAAGCTATTACATTGCTGAGCAGGTTAGGATTCTTTATTAGCTGGAAAGAATTTGAAAGACCCTCCCAAATTCTGGACTATCTAGGAGTTTCTATTGATACTGTCAATGGAACTATAGCATTGCCTTTTGATAAACAGTGTGAATTGTCAACACTGTTGCACAGTTTTAAAAGCCACAAACGAGCTACTAAACGCCAAATCCAAAGCCTGGCTGGGAAATTATCCTGGGCTTCGTAAGTGGTGAGAGAGGCAAGAACGTTCACCCAGAGAATTCTGGACTGCATACTCCCCTTACGCAAACTGCATCGTTTAAAGCAGACATTACATGGTGGATTAATTGTCTACAACGCTTCAATGGAAAGGCATTTTTCATTTCATTCATTAAAAGGGTTACGATATATACTTCTTACATCTTAAGTGACATATTATTGAAAAAAACATCTCTATATTACTTACTTCAGAGGATTAATGGCTTACAAAAAACACCATTTTTGAATTTTTTAAATGGCGTCCATTTTGTTAACATTTCCCATACACAGATGTAGACTACAAACTGTATTTCTTCACTTACCTTAGAGATTTAAGAGAAATTATTTCCTATAACCCTCAATAAAAGGGTTATAATATATATATCATACATCTTGGGTGACATATTATTAAATAACAACTACATACAAGTACAACTGACTGTTAATAATCTAAATGTAATTATGGTTTACCTTCTTTGAGCATGTTTTGTATTTCTGCTTCATTCCAAAGTATACGGTCCTCCAGGGTCAGCTTCCATCTTCTGTGAATCTGCTTGGCAGTATGCTTATTCAGTATTACCACGTAATCCTCAGCCTCGTTCTGGCCACCTGTATCATTTAACATCATAACTTCAGATATGCATGTTGATAATTTGGTTAATAATAAATTGTATAATTTGCGTTGATGCATTACTACAATACGAGGGGTGATCAATAAGTAATGGACCCTTTATCACATGGATGCTTTTCATCTTAGATTTTTTCACAAGTGATGAATCATTCAATTCAGAACTTATGATTTGAGGACAAAATATGTAAGACCAAGATAATATACTCTTAATATTACAAGCTTATTAACTCAGTTTTCTCCCAAATGCTCTTGTTGCAAAAATTCCTCAAACCCTGCTTATTCTTTTTGTAATATGCTACTTGTTATTTAATAAATGTAACTGTACACTGATTCAGTGTACACAAATAAATAATTTATTTAAATATGCCATTGAAATTACTTGAAATAAATAATACAAAGGTTAATTGTAAATTCAAAGTATACCTCTATTAGGCTTCTTGATGACTGGTCCAAACATTTTCTCTAGTTTACGAGCAAGCTTTGGCTCAAGGGTCAAGGATAAAGAGGAGAGATCATCTTCATCATCACTATCACTGTTGTCAGTGGTAGCCCTGACTGGGTATGTAACTAAATGGCTGTCAAATGCAGGTGCAATGGCTTCTGCATTACCACAAGCAGGTGTAGACATTTCTGTATTCTCTTCAATGACTACATCACCTGGACCTGGAAGTTTAAAATCAACATCAATGTATATCAATAAAAGGTGGACTTAAAATGTTGTTTATTGTTATCAAATATTTATTGCAACACATTGCTCCGAAATGAGCCCAAAACTAACAAGGCATTAACTTGCGAAATATCACTACCTGCCATTTGTCACAGATAATACATACAGCATAATAAATCATAAAAGAATGGTAACATTGTAAGTCTTGCAACAAATGAACCTTAACTGCATTCAAAAGTGACTGAAGTTTAGCTGATGGGACTATGAGGGGCTTGATACAAGGTTTCTTATAATTGCACATTGCTAGTACCTTGTGTGAGTAGATATTTAGTAGTAGTAGGTGTAGATCTTTGTGAGTCAGCTGGAGTTGTTTTACAGTAGAATAGATCGGAATCAAGAAGTACATGTGTTACCAAGTCAATGTCACCTCCGTACTGCTTCAAAAGATCATCCACTTGGTCTTCAGGCACATCAGGGAATGCCAAGATTAACTCCTTCACTTTATCATCCCACTTAAGCTCATCTGAGTCATCTGTTTGACAACCAATATGGATTTGAGACGGTGCATATGTAGCATTATTGGTGTTGGTAGATTTGTTGATATCTCTGGATGAACACCATAAAACTGTTTGAAAATCTGCATTCAATATGTTCAAGCTGCCCGACTCACATTTCGTGAAATCATTTGCATATGTCTGACATGATATTTGGCGTGTTTTGACTGTGGGTATAGCCGTGCGATCTGGAGATGGTGACTTACTTAAATTACGTTCCAACGGTTGTAGCCCCCAGTTCTGTGTTAAAAGTTTATCCCTGACATTCTGATCTAATTGGACGCTGGGGACAACCTCTTTCCTGTTCACCTTCTTTGGTGAGGTGTATGCCAGCTTTGAGGTGGGACTGACTTGAGGGGTACCTGAACTTGGACTAGAGTATTTTGAGCTTTGGGAGGTTTTTGACTGAGATGGGAAAACAACTTCATCAATGTAAGTGGCAATGTCTAGGTCTTCAACTCCAGATTGCTCTCCTGATGCGGATTGGTCAGATGTTCTTACTTCCCCATCATCATCTTTGGCTGTCTGTACAGCCACATTTGCAGCATCCCTATTTCTCCTTTGTAAATTAACCCTTTGAGCTTTTGGAAGAGTCTGGGTGACTTCAATTGGTATTTTTTTCAAGTTTTCAGATTTATCACTCTTAGCATTGGGAATTGGTGGATCAGCTTTCCAACTATCAAGAGCATGAACAGAAGCTGGAATACCCCAGTTTGCTACCGAAGAATGGACCAGTACATTTTCTTGTTGCTTTTCATTCAACTGGAATTGTTCAAATTCTTTATCAAGGTCAATTATATCTTTATCATCCTCAAAAGACTGATTCAAACCTGGGTTTTCAATGTTACTTTTTGGATGTGTAACAGATAATATGGGACTATCCTCAAGAGGTGTGTCATGAGGGGGTTGTTTGTCATGTTTCTGATAGTTACTTTCGGACTCTGCTTTAGCATCTTTATTCTGATCTCTAGCAATGTCCAGTTTATCAGTAGCTTTTGTGGCACTTGGTTTGCTTGGTCTAAAATAAAGCACAAACACAATCTAGTAATGCATTGCATGCATAACATGGGGACCTGTCCATAAATTCTCATGTTTCTAGAATGTTGATGAGTTAAGGTTGCTATAGTAACATTAACCATGGTACCTTGGAGCAAATAAAAATTCTTACTTTTTATTAGAAGATCAACATTAATTTAGCTTATCTTACAAGTTGTATTTAGTAGAAACAATAACATTCCAAAATATTCATTCCTTGATTAAAAGTTTGAAAGTAATGTGATCAGATAGAACATTAAAGGTTATGTTAAAATATGTTTATCTCATGAAAATATCAAAATAGTTGACTTGACATTTTACCCATACCTCTGTGGCTTTGGAGATTGTAATATACTATCAACTGTGACATTACGGTCGTAACGATCCACCATATCTTTCAGCCTATCTTTAGGAACTCCATGAGTGTTTCTCCTTCAAAAGACAAAAGTCAGATAATTAATGTGTCTACTTGTTGTAAGGTGTCGTCTAGGTCATTATTGACCTGGGGTTAGGTTCATTGATTTTAGTGTAATCATTTTATATCGTAAGCAATATACACTATCGTATATCCATATGTAATGGAGGACACACTACAGTTGGTTGGTAATACTAGTTGGTATCTGAACAATACTCGTGCATCAGGTAAGCAAAAAAAAAAAAAAAAAAAAAAAGTAAGCATGACCAAATGTGTCATTGGTTTGAATAAAAGAAGCTCAAAAAATTAAATCCAGAATTTTATAAAATCTTAAGTGACATTTATAAATGAATGAATACATTAAAATCATCAAGGTTACCTTGCAAGTTCTTTGACGTTGAACTTCCAGCTAGTATCAGGCTCAAGTATCTCTATGTCATACTTCCTCTTACTTGCCTACAAGGCATTTTTCAAAGAAATGGTAAATTAGCTTTTTGAAACTGAGAAGGACAAAGTGCCTCTAACATCATATTGGTTAGGGAGATGAGCTCTAATAACAGGCGTTCACATTTCAAGGACCTTTAACATGTAAGGAGATTATTATTAGGGTTCCCCTTTCAATTCAATTATTAACAAATCATAAGAAATTATCATCAAGCAGATCTACTTTAGTGTATTCAAAACAACCAATTAAATTTTACACTATTTATTGACAGTTTTCACGTTCAATATTCACTCACCATTTGTATGTATGTTGTCATCTCCCATGCTTGTGTATTAGTGTTGTCAATCACTACGGGACTTCTACCTTTATCGAGAGCTTTCTGGGCTGAAAGAATACCACATTGAAAATAACTATATACGTGAGGACAATTTTTTAAAGAACTCAAAACAGGACTTCTGCCTTTAACCAGAGCTTTCTCCACAGCTGAAAGAATTCACAAAATAATTATACTGGTGACAATATCATATTAAGTCTCAAGAACTCAGAACAGTGAGACCAATGATATGAGGCAGCCATTTTGAATTCAGCAGTCAGTCATCAAAAATTACATGTACAACAAAAATATCAGCCATTATGAAATTGAGCAGCTATCTGTAAACTGGTTACAGGGTTGTCAAAGAAGTTTTTTTCTAAAAATCAAAATAAATGAATCAATCTAATTTCCCTTGTATTACAATGGCATATGATAGTCCCTACCTTTTATGAAGCTCTCTCTTACAGAATCTAAATTGTAGTAGAGTGTTTGAAAAAGTATAAACTGAGTTCATGTAAAGATACGCTTATCACCCTCATAAACTCTGATAACCATTTAAATAAGTCACAACTTGTAGATAAAGAAAGAAAATGATAAAAGTTTACAGATTGCTTTTAAACTAACACTACTTAGTCTCATGATTAATTTGAAATAAAACTGTATGAAGTCAAAAACATATGTAGAGTGAAACCTGCAAAGTGGAACATCTCTGTTAGTGGTACACTTTTCAGACTCCCAAGAGCAACTGATTAAAATCAAATGATATTTTTTAAGTGAAAACCTTCCCAAATGGTACACTTTTTTTAGAGGTACCAGAGATGTTCAACTTAAGACAGGTTTTACTGTATATCCAAGTGTCAAAGTTATGATAAATATTATATACATATATTAATATGCTGAAGTTTCATAAGCACCAGGCAACAGACAATAGAGAGATTTCGCACATAAGTGAAAGTACAACTTATACGTATACGTATAGTTTAAAGGGTCATGTTGAACTTTTATATTTACTAAAATCAATTTTAAATTGTACTTAATGGAACATAACTATTCCCGATATAGAAAAGCTCCATCAACTAGAGACTGTGAATGCATTGTAATCTGCACGTGTATATTATGCTCATTATAATTAAATGCTTGCTTTCGTGTCCTAGTAGTTGTAGTGTATTATAAACACGATCCTTTAAAGTGAGTCATAATCCTTTAAAGTCAGTCATTACATAAACAAGTTGATTATTTCAAAGTTTTCATGATCAGTATAAGTTCAATGAACTTACAAAACGGTATATATACGAGATGATAAACGTATACAGTTGGATCTCCGTATAAAGCTTTACCTGCATGTGTGTGGAACAATTGACCGCAAGCATTTCTAAAAATAATTGGCTGAGTAGGAACAGTATCCAATCAAATACTTTAACCTCAATTTGAAACACCAATCAAACCAGTAGGCTCTAGCAATTCCTGGAAACGACCCATCTAGTAGCTCAACAAATGACATACAGGGTGTTTCATAACGAGCATCTCCAAAAAGTCAATTTGAGAAGAGATAGGTCTATAACATACGTACTATATATTTTATTCTAGACAAACACATTTGGATCTACTAAACATGCTACAATTCAATAAAGAACAAATGGGATCCCTTTGACCTTTATTTATTACAGTCCGAGAAGATCTTTCTTGACGAAAAGCCAACATTATGAAACACCTTGTATGTTTGCTTATAAGTATACGTTATAAGTTGTACTTTCACGCCGTGCGAAAACTCTCCAGTTTTACCAAATAAAAAGTGTGGTGTTTGAAGAAACTAATATTTCATTTTCTTATTTGTTTACCAACAAACTGTTGACTATCTATCCTATTATTAACACCCAAACTATTGATCATTTTCTTATTTGTTTACCAAAAAACTGTTGATCAATTTTCTTATTTTTAACAAACAAACTGTTGACCATTTTCCCCATTAACACCCAAACTATTGATCATTTTCTTATTTGTTTACCAACAAACTGTTAATCAATTTTCTTATTTTTACCAACAAACTGTTGACCAATTTTCTTATTTTTAACAGCCTAACTGATGACCTAATGCAGTACTGTCTTGACCTAATGCAGTACTGTCTGGACCATTCACACTTACTTTAAAACATTGAACAATTTGTTTTTCTCTGAAACACTCAAGAAGCATGAACAAAATATTATTATTATATTATTTCAAATACTTTAAATGACACATACCTCTCTCTTGGTTCCATGTGTGAGCTTCTCCAATGAGGCTAGGGTTGAACTCATATCTGCCATCTTGTTGAATGAAGAAGTCATCAGTGGATAAGACCACACCTTTACACACTATTGCCCTGAAGATTGACAAAATCAAAAGTCAAATTAATTACAGCTTAAATAAATTGATTATCAAGGGTGTACCTGGGATGTATCTAATTACGTAATTAGTGTGTATTTGCTATAATATCCTTAACTGACAGCATAGCAACTTACAAACATCATATCTCGATATTTTGGTTGGTTCGAAAGTACATCAGATCAGGGTTCTCACAAGGCTTTTAGACACCGGAGATTCTCCAGAGTCTGTATTTGCGATGTCAACTGCCAGCTGACAGTTTTACCTACTTCTTTATGGCCAACTCATTTACATATGAATTAAATAGAATAGTAATACTATAGGTTCCATTCATCATTCTATGAGTTGGCCATAAAATAGTAAGTTAGTCTAGTCAGATATGTGCTCTATCCAAAGATAAGCATAATGTCTGTTATTGATGTTATAAGAAATTCATTTTTAAAACTCAATTCACAGATATCATATTTGAAACCTAAATGTACATCTAGAATGGATTTCCACAAAATCAGGATTTACTATACCACGGAGCGGTAGGCAAACTGCGCGCCTACTATGCACGCAGTTTGGAACACTGACAAACTGCGCGCCTATTCACAAAATGACAGACAGGGAGGACATGACTCCCAAGAGGATGGAAATTACTGAAAATACTAGGCTAGTTTTGGTTTTCAGACAGTACCAAGATGTGGAGACTAACTTAGTTTATACGTAGCACTCGATTTTTTCCCCAATGCATATCTAGTTATCTCAAAATAAGGTTCCCAAGGAGCTTTCGTGTTAAAATTATACAGTGTTGCGTCATATAATGTCTGTTTTTCGTAGTTTGACGTTTATTCAGCCCTTGTGTTTGCATATTCTGAAAGATATAGGATTGCTGCACATGGTTTTTAGTAATATAGTTTGTTTGTTAAACAGTGTCAAGCCATTAACGTGATTTTATTTTTTTCGCTGTCAAACTGCGTGCATACTTTCACGTGGATTTCACAAACTGCGTGCCTAATATTTACAAACTGCGCGCCTATATTTACAAACTGCGCGCCTAATTTGCAACCTGTGTGCAAGTTTGTTGTGTATTTTCAGAAAATGTAAACGCCACTCACTAAACCTGCCCCTATATAAAAAGAAACCAAAGTCTGACCCTAACAAAAATGTAGATAACAACGGCGCATCTTCAAAAACCATGACACCCCCTTCAGAATTAAACAAGATGTTATTTTAAAACGCACCAATGAAGAAAAGGAAACCAATCAAGAAACCAAAGAGGCGATTATTTAAAGGTACCAGTGACTCATTTGAAAAAACATTAAAAGACTGTGAAAACCTCTTGCCCGATGTCCTCTCAAACCTTAAAAGAAATAGTACATTGTGTCAACCCTTCATCAATTTCTTTGGATTTATCAGGCTCGTATACTATACATGTACTGCAGTCGGGACATTCAAGTATTACTTCCTTTGGTATATGCTATAAAATAGACTCGGAACTATTGTATCCCCAAAAATTCAAAGATTTAAGTGAAAAAGTTTTGAATTTCTGAATTTTTGCTCGTCATGCATGCATGGTCACTTATTTATGGTAACATGGGTAATAAGTTTCAAGTCGAAAGAGTGAGATTGTTGTAAATATCTTTTTCTTACTTATGTTGCTAAAACTGTGAATTTTTATAGCATTTTATAATGAGGAATTCATTGAATTCTAAGAAATGGCTTTTTGGACTGCATCAATCAAAAATATAAATAAAAAAGGATTCAATATATATTTACACAATTTTTATGAACAAATTGTATTTATCTTGCACCATGCATCATGCACCATGTTAGTTTGAAATAAAGTAGTAAAATAGGCACTTCGGCACTTCGATGGGGACTAGGCGGGGGCCACCTGGGTGTCTTTTAGTAGGACCCCAATAGAACAAAACCATTTTCATGAGATTTTTGAACTCAACTCTATATGATGAAGTCGAATTATTGCATCAATTTTTTATTAAATCATATAGACAAGAACAAAATAAAATATAAATATGTACATTTCCACTGGTTGTCAACCATCAAGAAGAGAAGTCATTGATAATATGCACGCAGTTTGGAAGAGTAGGCACGCAGTTTGTGATTTCTGGCTAAAATAGGCGCGCAGTTTGTGTTTTATTACTTCTTTCTGTCATGTTCATCTGTTTTAATACGAAATATTTTGTATTGTACGGGAAAACTGGGTTGAGCTTTACCTGTGAATCAAAACCCAAGTGTTTTATATTTCTGTGAAACGTGCGATATCCACTCCCCCCAGTTTTCTGCAAGTAAAAATGCTAAATTCTGCAAGTGAAATTAGTGAATTCTGCAAGGGGAAAAGGCTAATTCTGCAGAAATTCCGCGGAAAATATCGTGATAGATATAATTAAAACGGGAAAATTTCATGATAGTTACATAGGCAGTCACTACGTCACTACTCAATACATGCTGCCATCTAGCGACAGAAATCAAATGACGAAGTTTAAAACTTTCACTTCGCATAATTTGGTAATTTTTGGGTTATTTCTACAAGGGATTTGACTGAAAACGTGTGAAATTGTTGGGGAAATTGTTACAGGTAAGACTGACTATTCAAACTTTTGGAAAATATATCGATTCCGCGGAAAATTCCGCGGAGATTGACCAAAATAGTTGATTCTGCAATTCCGCTGGCAAAGGCAAATTCCGTCCGCGCTCTGCAAACACGGAATCCTGGGGGCAGTGGATATCAACTTATGTATCGGTGATCGAAATATCGATGTCAATTTTTTGTATTAATCTGCTTATATTTTTAAACCTACGTTCATCTGGACATGCATTTCGCTATCACATGGTTGAATCATATAATCGCCACCGAATGGACGTGTTGAACTATAAAAAATTCAGAATAAATGTCTTAAAATGACGTTTGAAAACACAGACTCCAACTTTTATGATGCAATGTTGATAGGCGCGCAGTTTGTCAGTCTTTCAAACTGCATGCATAGTAGGCAAGCAGTTTGGCTACCGCACCGTGTATACTATAGGAAAACATTACTTACTGTGCAAGTGTTGATTTCCCACTTCCTGGACAGCCCCTCATTAAGACCATCACCTTGCGTCCACTTTGTACCAACTGCCGAATCTTGGCAAGTCTTTTCTCCATGGGTTTTGAGAATGAAATACGAGCTGGGAATCTTGGTTGTCCAAACCTCTGGGGTAGGACTTTGGGAATCACTCCATGTGGTGTGTTTAACACACTTGGATGCTGTGGTCGAGTCATTGCATTTCTGAAATCTAATCGAGGTGAATGAGGACCCCTTGGGTGCTGAACATTGGCTTTAACTGTGACAAATGTTTGCATTCCTTCTGCATTAGGTTTAGTACCAGTTTGCGGTTGACTGAAAATCTGGCCTTGAAGAAATGAAGGCACAAAAGCAGGTGCATTGATATTGAAGGAAACTGTGTTATTCTCTTGGGATTTTTCAGTTGTATTTTCACGAGTTGTAGGTATGTCAGTTAACACACGTCTCTGTACTTTTGGTGGATCAACTACTAATCTCGGTACTTGTGGGTCTGGTACATTTCCCTGTACTTTTGGCGGATCTACAACTAGTCTCGTTTCTTGTGGATTTGACACATTTCTCTGTATTTGGGATAAACTTACGCTTACAGTGCTACTGATATCTCCACCATTTCCAAGTAGATTTCTCGATTTCATTTTGTTATTTTGAGTCATATTGAATACTTCATTTTGAGCAAGTTGTTGTAGTTCAGGTGGAGATGTGATTGGTTGAATATCCATTGTTCCTGTTTGTTTTATGGTACTTTCTGTTTGTTTTTTGGTGCTTTGTGCTTGTTTTTTAGTCCTTTTTGTTTGTCCTTCTGAAGCATTTCGTAATTTATCACTGGTATTATTACTCGTCAACTGACACATTCCCTGTAGCTGAGTTGTATTTTTAATAACGTCAGTTAAACTATTAACATCTATTGTAGTATTGCTTACGGGTAAATTAGGTTTTTTAATACTTGGAGATAATTCAAAGTCTAACCCTGGTCCAAGTTTTGGATCATTTATTAAATCAGAACCAGATATGAATTTATCAGAATTGAATGATTCTACAGTATTAACTATTGGTACATTTTCATTGGATTTTTGTAAGTTGAGCACAGCTGATTTGGCTAAAGCTGTCAGTTGAGTAATATTTTTAGGGGATTCTTTTACAGTGGATTTTTGTTTGCTTTTTAGTAAAAGATTATCTTGCTTTAATTTATCAATGACAGTCAAATTTTCAGATTTCGTGAAAAAGTTCTCATCTTGCCCTTCCTTGGCAAGGTTTGATCCATAACTTTGAACTTTAACAGTTTCCCGATCAGGGTCAAATATATCGCCAGAATAATTTCTGGATATGTCACCTAAAGGGTCCCATGATGCACCAGCTGTCACATCACCAGAAGATAAATTTGATGGGAATAACTGTTCCTCGGGGTCACTTAATTTAGCAGGAGACTGAGTCAAAATCGCACTTGCCGATTTCAATGTCGGACCACCAGGTGGCAGTGATGTTGGTTCAGAAGACGTTGAGAAGCCCATCAGTGTTTCAAATGCAGTTTCAACTGTAAAATAGAACAATCAAATTAAGATTTAGCAAGTTTGTATAGTAATACTGTGATTGCTATCTCAATGGAAATGATTCTTGTTTTTGATAGAAGAATTAAAAAGCCTCATTTAGTTTAAATTCCCTCAAAATAAAACATGAAAAAATGGCTCCAAAATATAAACAATTTTACCTGCTCAAGAAGCTGCGATAGTGCATATATGTTATCCAAGAAAAAAATGTTGACCATTTCAAAAATAAGTTGGAAAACCAATTACACCCAGGGGAGGATATTTTCCAAAGATGACTTTTGGTATTGACACGTTCAATAACCAATTTTATAAACAGAACTCATTTGCCATTGAAATGGATCTCAGAATATTCGCTGTTGTTTTATGAGTATTCTTTACAAGTTTGGATCATGTGACTTCAAAAGTATTACCGTAGTTTTGAAATGATGTTGATGTTGAGATGATTTCAGTAAAATTACGATTTCTCTGCACCCTGTTGTCCAATCAACGTCATTTGACTATCTATGTGTTCCTGACACATTTGGGCATCCGGTAATGATAACATCTACCGAATGTTTGCACATGAAACTGATGCATTTGAAGATCATTTAAAAGCATTTAAAATCAAATCCACGGAAAATTTGAAATAATAAAATATTCCACACTGACCTCAGAGAAAATACTTCTGGTTTTATAATCCATGATTTTAACGATCAAAAATTATTTTTATGATTTTTTTCAAAATCTGCTGAAATACGGTTCTGTTTTATTGATGACAAAAAGAAGTTGCAAGTCTATCAATCAATATACAACGATAGGTAAATAGTAATAGGACCTGCCTAACGCCAAAAATAGATTTCCAGCGCTATGTGCAAAAAAACGATTATGGGGAAAATCTAATATAAAAGTAAAATTGAGAAAACAAAATATCTCACTAAATTCTGAAACCGATGACTCGTTCTAACATTGTTGCGCCCCGATTGATATCATAATTTTCCATTTCATTTCAGTAAATAAAGCACGATTTTCACCCCGAATTTTTTTAAAACAACCACAATGGTTTTTTTACTTGATGAATGTACGACATACAGAATAAATAACAGATATTGCCGCTTGCGCGCAAAAATATCGCAGTTGCGAGTAAGAAACAATGGTTCCCTTGGATCTCTTCACCAACGTGACCAAAAAAATGATGCATATTACCTTTCCAATCTGATGCAGCTAGGACCATATGTACAACTTCAGGATCTATTTTATCTTTGAACATTTCCTGCATACTTTGAAAAACCTGGTCCCTTTCTTGAGAAACGGTGGGAAAATTTTTATCAGAAATTGCCAATTTTTTGACGGCCTTTTCTGGACTTGGTCCTCTGCTATTTGATTTATTTTTTCGAGGCATGTTGCAAAAACGTATTAGTTTATATTGTACTAAAACCACGTGTGATTTGTACCACTAGCAGTTGTTTTCGAGGGGAAAAGGTCCGTATGTTTCTAAACGTGAGTTCAAAGTTGTTGTGTACCACTGCGCATTAGCCTTGCGCACGATGCTTTCCCTACACTTGTTCGCAACCTCTTATTTGATTGGTCAATCATTTCTGTGGGAAAAATAAAATATTTCATTTCCAGAGAATGCTGTGGGGTGAATTTTTGGAAACACACTTTCCAATTACAGAAGACAATTACTGAAGTATAGAATAGCTATTTTTGAAGTTTAAATAAAGCTAGAAATTCTAAAACAATGGAATTACTATACACACATTAATTTGACAATAAACCAATCAGATGCAAGTTGACAAAGGACATTGTTTTGGGAATTCTAAATTCGCGCCGTTCTCTTAAAATCATACTTCTTCAAGAATTCCGACAATATAACATTTCTATCCACATCAACTGACAGAAGTGTGTACAAAAACAAAATCGGAGTCACTGAGGATCCATTTAGTCTGAAAATTTCGAGTATTACACCAAGAACACTGAAGAATTAGCCTCTGAAAGGTAAGGATTTATTTCTGGGATTCAAAAATGGCCTCCAAATTTTGTGAACTTTAGCAAGACTTTTTCAAAATTTCAATTGAATTGCTTGAAAACTTGCTTGCTTGTAATGTAAGATAAAATAAATTGATACATGCTAGCCTTTGATCTTCGTATAACGAGTTTAAATCAACCGTCTTGTCAAACTAACTTATTGTTGAGTGTCTCGATCAGCCATTGTTTTTGAAGGTGAAAATCTCACCAATTTCCTTGTCTCCTTTTATGCAGAAAATACAAGATTCGGTGTATGCATATATGTATGTGCAATTAGAAGTAAAATTTAGAATGCCAATTAGAGAAATTCCAATCATCTTTGAACATTGAATGTGCTGAAATTTGTAAAAAACCAAACACTGATTGATTTATGCTTTTAGTACCAAGTGGATGTAAAGATGGAGCTAGTTGTTTTCAATGGCATTTTAACATGTAATTTCAAAGTAGTTGTTCAGATTAGAGTTATGTATATGTTATGTGGAATTTGCATCTTTTTGCTAATACCACATTATTCGAAACAAGTATTTTATGATATTTATATCCTGGAATACTCATGAAATGCTGACTAACTAATATTTTCTCTTTTAGATTACAAATGCACTGACCAGTGTTAGAATGCCGAAGCACTTTAGTAAAGCTGTGAAGTCACGGCCTGTCGTGGCCTACCCACCTGGATGTAAGGAATTGACTCATGAACTCAATAAAGATGAGCTCGTTAAAAGACTCAAGGTGAGAAAATGTTATTTATACAGGATTCTATCATTCTAGACCCCAGGACATTCGCCTTATATTCTACATACTAGATACTTAATTTAATCGAATTTAATTTGGTGCTACTTATTTTGGCGCAGTTGCTGTTTTGAACATTTGGCGAGTACTTAATTTGGCTGACTTGCAATATTGAAATGTACTACAAATTTACAACTGAAATATGAAATATTGCATTTGGAGGCTACTTATTCTACTTAAGTAGAAGTACAATGATATGAAGGGGGGGGGAATTGGCTTACCATATTCTCTCTAATGAGTGCACAGTGTGGTTTCCAAATTGAAATTGAAAAGGGTAAGAAGACACTGAAAGATTCCAATAAGTGCATATACAAATATAAAATCTCCTCTTATTTCTAGTAATTTGCATATATCCATATGGAGATTATACTTTCCAATAATTTTGCCAATGACTCTCCAAATCATTTTTATGTCACCACCAGAAGTGGTCACATATTGTTCTCTCCAACTTTTTTGGATGGTGGTTGGTGTTCGGTGTCTGTAACAAATGGCAGTTGGTAACATTTTACATGATAATGTCTCATTCCCACTGTCCGAAATTCTTAACTAAAATTCATAACTGTTTCAGTGTTTGGCTCGAGCGTTCCAAGAGATGGGACAAGAGGAGACAACATATGGTAATCTTGCCATCTATCTGGCGAGTGACTTCTTCCTGGACCACACCAGTAAAGATGTACGACTTCTAGTTGCATGTTGTGTAGCTGATGTCTTCAGGATATTTGCACCAGAGGCACCTTATAATGAACCTGGTCACCTCAAGGTAGGTTTCAACCCCTTATTTAGGATTATTGAGCATTTTAAGTGTACTATCTTAACATTATATTATGCATGTGTATAACATATCAATGTATAATTGCAGTAAAAGTTAAATCAATTCTGTATGTCAGGAGGTATTTTTGTTTCTAGTATTAACCCTTTGAATTACTTCACTTTGAAGAGTTTTCTGTTCCTAGTTAAAATAAATAAATAGTTTTAACCCATTGGATTACTTATATGTTTGCAGGAGATCTTTCTGTTCCTAGTGAAACAGTTGAGAGGACTTGAAGACCCAGAGGCGCCCTCTTTTAAGCGATACTTCTACTTATTAGAGGTAGAACAACCTGTTAAAACTCTTTAATACTAAATTGTGCATCTCCTAGTGATTTTCACAGTTTTTAGCTCATATTGTGAGGCAGTGGAATCCCCTTTGAGGGACCATGCTAAATACTGTGGCTACAGATTTTGTCCCAACTCCTACTTTTTCCTCATTTTCAAGAAATTTGCCAAAATCCCATACCAAATCCTGTATCAACCAAATGAATGGAGTTGTTTTTTTAAATAGAAACTAATTATTAATTATATGCATTAAAAGATCCCGACAAAAACTTATGATCAAATTAAAAAACAAAAATAATGCTTGAAATTAGAGCTGGCATCGAATAGGATTTTAATGTCGACATGTCGGAGCTCTCTATCGACAACGATATCGACATTGTCGGGTCCAATGATATTTGAAAAATGAAAAATATTTGAAAAAAATCCGTCTGAATTTGAGATTTTCTAGGCTTGTAATTAGCAATACCATGCACAATAGTCATCCTCACTTGTATGTTTTATATTTAACTTACATGTAAAACATGTTTAAGTATCAGACTTTGACGAAAAAGCAATAAATAGACATAAAACTACGATTTCTGTTGTTATTTCCGGGCAGCCATTGAAAATAAATCTCGAGGGTAAATCTCGAGGGGCCCCGAGACCTAATTCGAGAGCAGGAAGTCGATCAAAACAAAAAAGAAAATTTGAAAATGTAGGCGGTAAAACTTAACTAAAATACACCATACAGCAGGTAGTAACAAAGATTTTAATTCATAGGGAAATAGCTTATTATGTTGTGAGTTCCGACTGTCGATTAAGAGGCGTTGTGTCGACATGGGTGTCGCAGAGAGCATTCGACTGACAATCGACCATTCCGACATTTGATGCCAGCTCTACTTGAAATATTATTGCATGTTACATATTATAATGGTAATGGTAAAATTTTGTTTATCAGTACTGTTTCTTTTCAGAACCTTGCCTGGGTGAAATCATTTAACATTTGCATAGAGTTAGAGGATAACCAGGAGATCTTCTGTAACCTTTACAAACTCATGTTTTCCATTGTCAAGTAAGTGGAAATTATTCTGTCATACTAATCATACATATTATTTAGGATGTCTTTGTTCAAGTGTCAGGGCAGAAAGAGGATAACTTTTTGCTAATATTTAAAATTTGCCCTCAATTTTGTTGACAATCACTGCTGGCTTTAAATATGGCATCATTTATCTAGTTTAAGTATTCAAAATTTCTTGTTTCCCAGAAGAAAATATTCTTTCGAAGTGTTTCATAGTACTCTTGCCTTTTTGACTGGAAGTCTTTTTAAATGTATTTCCGTATTGGTTTTAATTTACATTTATGAACCTGTGTCTTGATAACTACAACTCACTTATAACAAACATGTATTATGTATATATGCTATTTCTATTTCTTTCTGCAGTGAGAAGCATTCAACTAAAGTAAAGAACTTCATGTTGGACATGATGTGTCCACTGATCACAGAGGCTGATTCTGTATCCCAGGAACTTTTGGATATCATTCTTCTGAACATTATCGAGCCTCAGAAAAGTGAGAATCACCAGGCGTACAATCTCGCCAAGGACCTCATTAAAAGAACCAGTAATGCAATAGAGCCATATATACAGACGGTAAGAATTTGTGTTCAGTAATCAACAGATTTGGAAGAGTGGATGTAATTTCATCACAGGGAGGGGATAAATTGTGATTTTTTTAGCAAAGGGTGTCGATTTTTTAAATATTTAGACAAATCACAATTTTAAAGTGTTGTTATATAAGGAAAGGAGGCAAAACATTTTGAAATTAATTTTGTTATGCCACTTCGGTTGATAATTGGAATGGATACCATCTCTAGCTTGCGAAAGCTTTCTTTCATCTAGTTTACTTTATTGTAGGGAGTCATGAGGTAAGGCTCCAGCCAAGAGTCTTTAACACTCCCAGTCTGAGAATAAACAGCCTTGAGTTTTTGCTCTATCCTTATTCAAGAAAACTCATAGAGTGAAGATTTGTCACTTCAACATTCCGTTCATATTTTCCAGTTTTTCAACAATGCACTGATGCTGGGAAAGACATCAGAGAGTGAATTGTCGAACTACATCTTCAAGTTGATCTATGAGCTGAACACAATATCTCCCAGTGTATTATTAGCCGTACTCCCACAATTGGAGTTCAAATTAAAGGTAAGCAAACCTACAACCTTAAATTCCATCATTTAAGCACACTCCCCTCGTCCCGTCTATTACAGATGACTCATATGTCATCATCAGAAATGGTGACATATTGTTATAGTCTCCAACATTTTTGCACTTGTCGGTCGATTTCTGTAACAAATTTTTACAACATTTTGTTAATGCCTTGTTTGTATATAAAGTGAAATTAAAGTAATAAAGTGGCAGCTATTTTGTGAGATGTTTCTCAAATTATTATCAACATAGATGAATTGAATTGAAAGTGATTTCTACCAATAATACCAGTACACCAAGCTATCGTGTGGCGCCTAAACAGTGTCCATAAAGTCTCATTACAAGGGTTAGAGTTAATGAAAACACAGAATGAAATTCTGCGTTAAGGGCTGATGTGAAAAAGTCAGTCCACCCTCTTGGGGATCCAACCCACCACCCTCACTTGCCGGACAAGTGCGCTACCACTGAACTATGGAGCCAACTGGCTTTTGTATATTATAATATATATAACCTGTATGTGTATATTATTTCTATTCTAGAGTAATGACGTTGATGAGAGGAGACAAGTTTCTAAGTTGTTGGCTAAGATGTTTTCTGATAAAGATTCTGACCTGGCTACTCAGAACAAACCACTTTGGAACTGCTTCATAGGAAGGTATGAATAAACAACTCATTTTAATTTGCAGATATCACCTTGACAATATAAATTTTATTGTTTTGGTTTGAAATTCATAACAGGTTTCTTTTGAGTTTCTAACAACCAGCCAAACAAATGAAAACAATATGCAAAATTGTTTTGGGAAATGTTAAGGTGGCCATTTTGGACTTTCTGTCCTGAAACTGTCAATTCTATCTATACTTGTGCAATATTGTACATATCGGTCATGTTTTTTATATGAAAATCTTGGCAAATCAATGTAACTTTGGATAAGCTTTAAAATGATATATGACACATACTATGGGGACATTGGTCTATATCTGCCTAGGGGGGGGGAATATTTTCGGGACACCCTGTTCTTGTGCAATATTGTACATATCAGTCATGTTTTATATGAAAACCTGTTTATTTTGTTGTGAATGATGTTCCTTACAGGTTCAATGATATTGATGTTTCTGTGAGAGAAGTTTGTGTGAAAAGTGCAGAGAATTTTCTGGTGAATCACCCACCTTTACAGAAAGACATATCAGGTACAGATTTATATAGACAAACTCAAAAATATGATTGCACTCATGTACTGCATGCATTTTGTTATTTTGAAGATTTGAGCCTTATACTTTGTATCTTATTGTGTTGTATGTGACCTTATGTTAGTTTTTGTGTAAACTTAAAACATGTATTGTATATATGTTATAAAATTAGTTTTAAAACCTCAAAATAATTCTAGTACAAAAGTACTTTTTTGGATTCCCTGGAAAATTGACCTAGTATAATGTAATTGTACTGTATGCATATTTCATATTTCAGAGGCTTTAAAATCTCGTATTCATGACATCGATGAGAACATCCGTTCTGAAGCAGTTGGTGTGATAGTGTCAGCAGCCAAGCAAGATATCTCCACCATTAATGAGGACCTAGTCATATGCCTCAAAGATAGAACACTGGATAAAAAGGTAAGAAGGTTAAAATGCTAGGGAATAATGGAGAAATAGTCACTGTGGTGCTTTATAGTGAAAAATAACTTCTCTGGAGTAATATCATGTCCACAGATTTGTTCCAGAGGTTGCAGGCCAAAATTGCCTCAAAAATTATTGACAATTCAGTATGACATAGAGGGAATTGTGTAAATGGTCCAATTTAAATTTGATAGCGTGGTGTAGTTTTTTCCCAAAAGGAGATGCTTCTACTGCCCGGTTATTCAAAATGGGGTTTATTGGATAAAATATGTTTTAATCATCGAGACTAGCTACTTTGGAACCATTCCCCCGTTACTTTTCTAGTTTATTTTCGATCGATATAAGGTAGTATTTCATACTTGAGTGGGTTTGGGGTAGATATCACCCGGGAATATATATCATATCTGAGGAGCGGGCAGGATATATTGTATATGTCCCGCTCTAGGCCAAATGCGGGCAGATATAATATATCCATCCCGCTCCCGGGAATTTTTTCAAAAGTTTAAAAATTTTAAAAATTTAAATTTCAGAAGTTTAAAATTTTTCAAAAAGTTTAAATGTTGACAATTCTATTGTATTGAACTGAAGGAATATTAGGAAAATGTTAAATATAAATTGTGCATTTACAGTATAGGCCTATCTTGTCATTTGAAAAAGGTGGTAAAGGTTATATCTACCCCAAACCCACTCAAGTATGAGATACACCAGTTATGTACGGTCGGTTTTGGATACAGGGTTTATCCCGCGGGAAATATGTGTATCTCCCTCGGTCCCTGCGGTCCCTCGTGAGATATACATATTTCCCTTGGGATAAACCCTGTATCCAAAACCTCCCAGTACATAACCCTTATCTGTTCATCTAGTTACCATTCAATCGTAATTTTTCTTGTATTAATCATTTTAGTTCAAAATTCGCCGTGAAGCTCTGCTAGGACTTGGTCAAGTGTATAAGAAGATCATGGCCACTGACAGCCCTCTAGCCAACAAACTGGGATGGGTGAAGGATAAAATCTTACATGCCTACTACCAGCAGAATGTAGATGACAGGTAGGTGCATATATATATTTCTTTTATTGACAAAAAAGTGTCAAAGCATGATACATTAGTCTATGTACAAACTGCATATATCACATTTTTTTTATACTTTTTCAAAGTTTGTGTTTGTCAGGGAAGCAACACATAAATCTTGTCATCACTTTCCATGTAAAGTGCTTACCTGTTCAATTTGAAATTTTTGCACATGAAAGAGCACAGTAGTGTCAATATCTGATTAGGTTTTGGGCATGTATGTCACTTGTCGGTCATTTTAAATTTTTTATAAAATGGGCAATATTTATCAATGTGACTTGTCAATAAAGAAAATCATAACCTTAGTTAACTGAATTAGATATGTTATATCTGTGAAATTAAGTGACATTAAAACTAAATGAAGGTCATCAATTTGATTCTCTATTTTTCTAAATGGACTTTTTTACAACTTCAATACCACTTATGTCTTTTTAGGCTAATTGTAGAAAGGGTTTTCAACACATGTCTGACCCCCTATAATCTCAAGCCAAAAGAGCGCATGACTGCACTGTTTAAACTATTCGCTACTCTTGACGAACGGTCCACTAAGGCATTCAACGAGATGTTACGTACACAGTTCAATGCGAGACAAAACGTTTCCCAATTACTGGAATTACACAGCAAAGACCTCACTGATGAGGTTGTAGCTAAAAATATGAACATAAAGATATTACAACTCCTCCGTAAGTTTCAGAAATTTTTATATCACGACCAAATGTAACATTAGAATGCTCCTCTATTTTGATGTGTCTCACAATACATGTATATTACAATGAAAAATAGGAAATTACAAAAATCTAAAAAAATGCACAAAAACTTCAAAATCCTATGTTGCACAAAAAATAACCAAATTTTCCATACTGTGTATGTGAATTCCAATTTGTGATATTGTCTACTTGATTCCAGGGCATCTACCTGATGGAGGTAAACAGAGAGAGGCCCTCACAAAGTTTAATAAAATCATACATGACGACTCTAGGATAAGACTGTTAATGAAAAATCTCGTTCAACCCCACTTTATGTGTAAGAAGGCAGAAGAGCATGTGGTAAGAGTTAACCCTTGTAATATAATATGTTTGAGTTAACCCTTGTAAAATAAGAAGTTTGAGTTAACCCTTTTAAAATAATAACTTTGAGTAAGTCCTTGTAAAATAAAAAGTTTGAGGTGGTGTGAAGGAAGGTTCTGTTTATACTTATAGTACAGTAAAACATTTGTCACTGTAAAACATCCAACTAAGGACATGTTATGTTAAGCTTCCAATGCTGTTTTCCACACCAGTTATTTTTTTCTTATATGAATATTCACGCAAAAGAATCTTTGAATAGTGTTTAATTGAGTAACATGTATCCACAATGTTGTGTTCTCCTTTATTCTTAACTATGTCTAGTACCTTCAATATATCCATGTGTTTCAGAATGAGATCCTAAAGAAGCTTGGCAGTAACCCTACTCTATACAATGTTGCTAAGGTGCTACTAGAACGTATAGCTCCTGTATTGATAGACCAGGAGGCCATCAAGGCTCTAGTAGAGCTCGTACAAGAGGCAGTTGACGGCATAGATTCATGTGTTAAGGATGTTGACAGACCAGGAGAAATTGGCATGAAGCTGTTACTGGTGAGTAGCTTAGTTTTGATACAATTGACTCCATGCAAGAAGAAATCATCTTAATTTCTTCATTGAAAATTCAAAATTTAGTCAAAGTGTTATCATATTTGAAATCTATGTGTAATATAACATCAGTAAGTTTTATGCATGAACATGCAAGGATGCACTGATATCGAAATGTAACGTAACTTAGTTTTGTGATCTTTAATTTATTTCAGACATTATCATTTGTGTTCCCTGGTAGTTTTCATAGTGTGGAAGTCTATGAAACACTACTGACTCTACTTAAACATGAGGACGATGTCATCCCTGATATTGCGCTACAGATATTCACTAATGCTGGTCAAGACCTGCAGGAAAACTTCTCAAATGTCTTCTCGTAAGTATCGTTAGGGAAACACGTTTATTCTAAAACCTTGAATATTCTAAAATTACTTGAATCTTGAAATTTTCCTATTAAATGTATGTCTTAGATAATTTCAGTGGAATTTACTAACATACATTTTGAGCCATTTATCTAAAATCTTTGAAGCCCATAGTTTTTATCAGTGCTATATTGTAATCATTTTGTGCAGGCAGGTTAACTTAACTTGTTTAGATATCAAAATATCCTCACAAAGACAAACATCACTACTCTATATTTCTCCACCTTTATTAGTTTGGATATATGTGGCTTATTGATTTGATAAGTCTCGTTTGTTCCTCTACTTAAAAAGAATGTGTTGTTTGTTTTTCCACTTACCAAAAATGTGTTATTTGTTCCTCCACTTATCAAGGATATGTCGTTTGTTTCTCCACTTTCCAAGAATGTGTTGTTTGTTCCTCTACTTACCTAGAATGTGTTGTTTGTTCCTCCACGTTCATGTATTGTTTGTTCCTCTACTTACATGGAATGTGTTGTTTGTTCCAGGAGCTTGCTACCAGTATTACAAAGTGTTATCAAGATTGGCACTCCAAAACAAGCCAAACATGCAGTGAAATGTATTGAAGTTCTCTGTACCAACAAGTCTGCCATCTATGAACAAGTGTTTGAGGTAAACAGAAATAAGCTCAAGATTTGTAATTTTTCTATTAGTTCTCTGTTCAAAATTTCAATGTACACTTTTAAGAAACTATTAAAACTTCCAATTAAAACTTTCAATTCAAAGTGACAATGAAGATGCTTCTAATTAATTTTTTGACTACTTTTTTTAAGTTGAGTAACATTTTAATCAAAGCACTCTTCTAGACCTTTCAGTTTTTGTAAATCAAGAAAACAAAAATATTAAACCAGAAGGTCATCCATGTTACTTTGACAATATGTCAAATAAGTAGATAGGAAACAATGATGTTATTCCAGTATTTAAATTTTCCAGTATTTAAAGAAATCTCTGACACACGAGTCAGCCAATCTGATCACAGCCCTTGTGTCTCTGGGTCACATCGCACAGATCTGTCCTGCTGAATTTGGGGCACAAATGAAGGCTATCGTCACTAAAGTCATTGTCAAGGAAATTCTCATGCAGGATCTAGTAAGACAAATTATATTTTACAATTTACATCATTCACATATCTTTAAAAGTTATCTTTTATTTGTATATTATTAAAGATAATCTCTTTTTGGACTGTTTTGGCTTGTACTGTCTGTATAACCTATATAATTCAAGTATGTATACAAGAAATATCTTACATATAAACTATTGTTTAGAGTGTGAATCCTTAATATCTTTTCATTAAATAGCATTGACTGTATGCTATCTCATAGGCATAAAAATAATGTTTTAGTGTGATGCTCATGTATAAGTGTCTGTCAAATAGATAAATAGAATGAAATTGATAAATTTAATGAAATTGATGAATTTAATGAAATTGATAAATAGAATGAAATTGATAATTGCAGGCCCAGAACAGGAATTGCAAGGAAAAGTGGCTCCCTGAGCATCGGGTTTCTGATGAGACTCAAGCTAAGGTCCAGTCAATGAAGATGATGGTCAGATGGTTACTAGGGTTACGGAGTAATGCCACCAACTGTGGCAGCTCAACTTTACGTCTTTTATTCACATGTATAAAGAATGATGGGGATCTTATGGAAAAGGGCTTAATTTGGTAAGTTAATTTAGTTGTTTAATGTTTATGGATGTATAAATGTTTGGATTTTATGTCAAAGTTTTGAATAATGATTAATTTTCAGACTTTTGGCTGCCAGTCATTGGTAAATGCAGAGATCACGGTAGACGTTCGCCATTCGCCAATCGCGAATTTTCGAAAGAGGTGGCGAAAAATATGTAAAGGTATTTCGCAGTCATGGCGAATTAGAGGTGTCACGGTTTCCCGATATTGGACCGAATTTCGGTCCAGATGCTTCGGTTCGGGACATGGGACAGAAAGGGTTAATATCGGTACATAGATTCCTTCCCTAAAATGCATAAAAACGTGTATAAATAGCGAGGAACACCTCCGATTTCGTTCTGAAAAATTAAATATTTTCACTTACCTCGTACCTAGATTACACTTCTTTGCATTGAAAAGTGTTATTAACGGACCCGCGATTTCAGGTAGATGGTAATGCTTGTTCGTAAATTTCTTCATCGTCATTCGCAAATCGAGTGCATTATCAGTATGCCGGATGTAGGAAAGAAATTGAAAAATCGAGCCGGCATCTAAGTCGAAAAAGTCGGCAGTTTGGAAGTATTTTGGGACTCCGATATCACAAGGTAAACGAATCTGTGATATTACACCGTGCAGACTATGTGAAATGCCGATCACATTCGCGGCAGTTGCTTTACATTCAATTTTAATTGACGTTTTTTTATTTCTGAATATGATTTTGAAAAGTGAAACTGTCATCATCAGACATTTCATCATTGTTCCCTTTTTTACGGTTTTTCAAAATGGCTAATTCATATTTTGGTTGGCGAAATTTTTTTTGGAAGATTTAGCCACAATGGCTAACAAGTTTTTTCAACTATCGTGATCTCTGGTAAATGTATGAACTTTTCATAACATAAGGGTGGGTAAGACGAGTACCAACTTTGCCCTATTGAGGTATTCCTTAAACCAGAACTCGTTTAATGGGAACTACTAATAATACATAGGCTACTGCTACTGACTGATATAAGCTTCTGAAGTTAGATATAGGTTAACTTGTATAAAGGAATAGAACAATTTATGATTTTTACATCACCACCTCAAATGACCTTTTTGTGGACAGTGTTCAGCGATTGATGTTCTGCTTCCGATGTCTGTAACAAATGGCAGGTGTGATGACGTGTCATTTCCCATTTTAAAGCCTTGTTTCTTCATGTGACCTTGTATATGTTACAGTGAGGCAGAGAAGGCGCGATTGAGGCTGACTGCTGGGTGCTGTGTTTTGAAAATTGCCCAAGATACTTCTTACACTGAATCCTTGACAAATGAACAGTTCCAGACTGCAGCTCTTCTAATAAATGTAAGTAAAGAGTGGATTGTAGTAGAGTGTTCCAGTTGAACACCTCTGTAAGGAGAAGACTGCAAATGATTCAATGTTAAATGAACCTCTGTAAGTAAAAAGTGGATTAGATTAAAGTAGAGTGTACCAGTGGAACACCTCTGTAAGTGGAGCACTGTAAATGTTAGACATTTCAAAGTTCATGATCCAATGTCTTAATGGACCTCTGAAAGTGAAACAAATCCCAAATGGAACACTTTTAAAATAAGAGTTGCGAATGGTGTTCAGTTACATTGGTGTATTGAACACATGGTATATTGAAATTATAATGTAGAGGTAAAGTAACCTGACAACATTTCCTCGGGTGTTCAAGGGGTCTGTTTCAAGTGTTCAAGGGGTCAGTTATGCCACTAAACATATGTTTATTTTATGGAGAATTGTTCATGTAAAACCTGCCAAAAAGTGAGCTGGAAACTGATTTCAGGTTACTTTTATTCATACAATTTAATCTTTATAAAAGATTTGATAATGAAATTAAATATAAACTAATTGTTTCCAGGATAGGAATTACGAGGTTCGCTCCCAGTTTGCAGAAAAGCTTCATAAGGGCCTAATGTCATTGAAGCTTCCTCTGCAGTTCCTCTCTATTTTCTCGCTAGTCGGCCTTGAGCCAATGAAAGAGAAACGTCTCCACCTAAAGCAATGCCTAGTGGCTAATATAACACAGCGGAAAGCTTATCTAAGACGAAATCCTGCTGCACACAGTAAGTTCAAATATGTTCACAACTAAACCATCGAATGTTTCCAAAATTCAAGCAATCAAATGGTTTTTCAAAGTAAGAAGCGCAATTAGTGCAGTCAGAATGTGGGTTTCGGCGTGCGTTCAGAGGGATTTTATGGGACATAATTTTTCATGTTACTACTATGATTATACATATTTGTATGGATTATTAGATCTTAGTTTTTCAGCTTTTAGATTTTGTGGCCATTTTACCCCCCATGGGCTAAAATTTGGACCCCTACTATATAATTGGGCAAGAACTCAAAAAATACTCAGTAGAATGTTTCCAAATTACTAAGTTATATTGGTATAGGCTAATTGAATATATGATAAAAATTTCATGTCACATGGTTATAGTGCTTGCAACGGTAATGGATCTCACTGCCGGTAAATTTCATCTCCATTACCTTACCGTTACCGATAATCGTTGATACTGATAATGTTCCTAAAATCCCGGGGAAAAATCTGAAAGTGAAACTAAAATATTTGGAAAAATCCTTAACGAAGCCGATTTCTCGGCTTGATTTCCCGCTCACATCAACTACAGTGGATATATTGTATCATCGTGTATCTCGTGTGTGATTGTGTATTGTTAGGAAGTCTTTGAATGATAATATAGAGTGAATTCGATCAAAATTGATCAAATTATTTGTGTTTGTTTTTACTTCACCGAAATATCACGTCACGTGATTTGTTAATCTCGCGGCATGGGAGATGATTGACAGAAGTGGGTGGGGTTTTGCTTATTTTCCCGCCTTTTACGAATGCTTTGCAGTTGATTGACAGATTAGCTCTTCAAATGTGGAGATTGAAATATACATGATTGATAAAATATTCTTAAACGAACATTGTTTCGTAAATTTGACAATGGATCGCAATGCCAATCATCATGTTGCAGCAGCATGGCGATTATCGGCAATGGATTTTATTACCGGCAATTGAGAGTATCTACTGCCGCTGCCGACAATCCGGCATTACCGTAAGGCACTACATGGTTAACTGGTTGCCATGGAAATGGATAAAACATGCCCTTCGGGTGTCAATTTTCAGGCCAATTTTTCAGGACTGACAGAGTCATATCATGCATATTTTGTCACCAATGTGTTAGGAAGGGTTAAAATGTCAATAGAAAACTTCTATAATATATAAGCAACAATTGTATGTAAAGATCAGTCCACAAAACCTCAGATTTTGGCCTTGTATTGGTCCATGACTTATACAGGGGTCTATTTCATAGACTCGAGCTCCCACATTGGATGGATGCTATAACTTTTGAAATAATGGAGATACAGGTCTCATTTTTTCAGATCTTCATAAATGGTTAGTTTTAAGTATTCTATTTTACTTTGGGAGCTGACATGTGATTGGTTGCCATGGTAACCAGGGTTTTAGGGAAATTCCGACCCGCACATTGGATGGATGCTATAACTTTTGAAATAAGGGAGATACATGTCTCATTATTTCAGATCTTAGACAATGATTGATTATGAATATTAAATTAGACTTTGGGGGCTGAAATTTGATTGGTTACCATGGTAACTAGAGTTCTATTGAAATTTGGACCTCCTCAATTGATAAATGCTTTAATGTTTGAATTCAAGCAGATACAGATATCATCATTTCAGATCTTAAAAATTAATTAGATTTGTGTATTGAATTAGACTTTGTAGCTTAGCATTTACTTGGTAACCATGTTTCGTCGCCATGGTACCCCTAATTTTTTATTTCAGTCTTACCTTCATTTGAGAATGGTCAATTCACAACATGTTACACCAAAATGCTCAAAATTATCATTTTGCTCTTTATTTCAGCAATTTATCCTGTATGTCTGACAGTATAGCCTCATTCCATTCTACTAGTTCTCACACATATTCAGACTCCCAACTTGTTTTTACTCATCATTATTGTTTTCATCTTCCACAATTGCCTCTTAATTAAAAATATCAACAATTTCTATTTGAAAGAAGGATTCTTTTGACCATTCTTGTGTTAAAGATTCGTCAGGGAATTCACAGTTCATTCATGCAGTGTTGGGCATAATGGTAGAGCTGGGTTTAGGCTGGTGGGAATGTGTCCATACATAGGTTTGATAATTTACCCTCTTCAAATGTGAAAGAAAATGTCAACACCTTCATAAGTGAGGGCAGCACTGTTCTGTTTTTTTTCTGTATCTCATGGGAAACAGCTCATCTCGTAATCTATTAGTGGCAGTTATTTTTCTATTTCTGCTGTTTTGTTGTATTTCTGTACTGGAGGAATCTGATCCAGTAAACGCATTGAAGGCTAATATAGCTTCACACAGGACTTGGTCCTAGGTTTGCAGCTACAGGGGTTGGGTTGAGCTTCCGACATCTAATGGGACAGAGTTCACATCAGTTGAGGTTCTTAAGGTTATTTTCTTCATAATAGGAATCAATATAGAAATTCCTGACACAATAAAATCCAAAGTTGAATTGTTCACCAGCAAAAGTACAGCAGAATAACAAAAAAATATATATTTGTAACTTACATCAATAGATAACAATATGAGCTGTTTCACATAAGATATTCTCCAAAACAGAACAGTCCTGCCCTCACTTATGGAGGTGTTGACATTTCAACTCTTCCCATCTTTCAAGATTGGTCCTTGACTGCTTTCATAGCAGCTAATATAATGCAATGAATTAAATGATGAACTCTTCCATCTTGTAATGATTGCTCATTATAACATTTGAAGAGGATGGATGATAAAACTTATATTTGGAAGTGGAAACATTACCCCCCCCCCCCCCCCCCCCCCCCCGTTTCCCAGGAGTTCACTGTATATAAACCTTGAGGGGATCCTCAGCTCAGGTGGGTTACTTTTGACATTTGATATGGCAATGGACCCAAATTTTAGGATCTGGTATGAGAATGCTTTCCAAATTATGACTTGAGAGGTATAGCAATGGTCGGATTTGGGAATGGTTGTGAAAAATATGTTGCCCCTCACTTGTTGCACATGTATGGCATTGATCTAGTATATCCTTAATGTGAGGTTGTTTTTGGTTGTTTTCCTCAATGATCTGCCTTCTTCTCCAGGCATTAGAAATTTTGAATGGCCATGTTTTCATATCTGGATATTTGGTATGGCACTGGTCATATATTTGGGCATTTGGTATGGCTTTTGGGCATTATTTTGGTTGATATCGGAACACATTCAAATTTGACAGATTGGATGGGAACATATTGATATCTGAGGGTTCAGCCTTGGACCCCAGCCAATTTTATATACAGTGAAACCACAGGGACCAGTTTTAACCCATTCTGCCAAGTCCAATACTGCATGAATGGACTATATCCCCTGAGGGTCCTTATCTCCAGAATGGTCAAAACAATCCTTCATTCCAACAGAAATTGATGTTGAAAGGAAATTGTGCTAAATGAAAACAGTAATGATGAGTTCAAATGAACAAATTAGGAGTCAGAACTTTTGTAAGAACTAGTCGTATGGAATAAGGCAATATTGTCAGACATACATGTATTGTTTACTAGTATTTTATATTTTATGAGCCAAACAATGTTTGCATCTCTAGTATTATTGAGTCATGAGCATGTAAATCATATAAAATAGAAAAAAACAAAATTAAGAATAAAATGGTAACTTTGAGCAATTTGGTATTTTATGTCATGTATTGACCTATCTAGAATAAAGGTGAATCTGAAAACGAAAACAGCAGTTACCATGACAATGAAACATGGTTACCATGGCAGACAAATAAATCCTAGCTTCCAAAGTCTAATACAATACACACATATTATTATTATCTTACCTCTGAAAAGATTATCTTATCTGGCTGTATTTAAGAGTTATAGTGTTCATCAATTGTGGAGGTCTGAATTTCAACAAAACCCTGATTTCCATGGTAACCAATCAAATTTCAGCTCCCAAAGTCTAAATCAATAAAAAATGAGACATGAATCTCCCTTATTTCAAAAGTTATAACATCCATCCAATGTCGGGGTCAGGATTTCCTTAAAACCCTGGTTACCATGGCAACCAATCATATACCAGCTCCAAATGTATATTAAAATACTTAAAACCAACCATTTATGAAGATCTGAAGAAATGAGACCTGTATCTCCCTTATTTCAATAGTTATAGCATCCATCCAATGTGGGGGTCGGAATTTCCCTAAAACCCTGGTTACCATGGCAACCAATCACATGTCAGCTCCCAAAGTAAAATAAAATACTTAAAACTAACCATTTATGAAGATCTGAAAAAATGAGACCTGTATCTCCATTATTTCAAAAGTTATAGCATCCATCCAATGTGGGAGCTCGAGTCTATGAAATAGACCCCTGTATAAGTCATGGACCAATACAAGGCCAAAATCTGAGGTTTTGTGGACTGATCTTTACATACAATTGTTGCTTATATATTATAGAAGTTTTCTATTGACATTTTAACCCTTCCTAACACATTGGTGACAAAATATGCATGAAATGACTCTGTCAGTCCTGAAAAATTGGCCTGAAAATTGACACCCGAAGGGCATGTTTTATCCATTTCCATGGCAACCAGTTAACCATGTGACATGAAATTTTTATCATATATTCAATTAGCCTATACCAATATAACTTAGTAATTTGGAAACATTCCACTGAGTATTTTTGGAGTTCTTGCCCAATTATATAGTAGGGGTCCAAATTTTAGCCCATGGGGGGTAAAATGGCCACAAAATCTAAAAGCTGAAAAACTAAGATCTAATAATCCATACAAATATGTATAATCATAGTAGTAACATGAAAAATTATGTCCCATAAAGTCCCTCTGAACGCACGCCGAAACCCACATTCTGACTACACTAAATAGTTTATGTTATGGCTAATTTCTCCCAAAAATTTTCAATATCAGTAGCACAGCTCATTAAACAAGGAACAAGCTTGTTCATTTCACTTCATTTTGTGCATGTCCATCAAGACTTTTCCTTTGCTAGTTGATTGTTTGTAAGGTCTTACAGTAGAATACAATGAGACAATATCATCAATTGTCATATAGATATCTGCATTAAGCAGCAGCCTGTTATTTCCAAACCTTGTAGACCATGTTGTATGCCTGTCTGAATGTCTGGCATTTCATCTATTTATTTCAGATAAAATCTATTCCATCCTACCTGAATATACTATGCCATATGTTGTCCACCTGTTGAGTCACGACCCCGAATACAAGCAATACAACGATACAGAGTCACTCACGCAAATAAAAGAGTAAGTTTTAGAAATAAGGACATGGATAAAATCAAAAGAAAGATTTTAGAAGACAAAATTTCAATATGTTTTCCATAAAATGTTGTTAAAGTGAATTCAGCTCAAGTTTTAGAATATCTGTTAATGCCAGTAAGAAACATCAATGTGTTGTTATCATAGGCAGATGATATCCTGAATATCAATCTGCTAAATGAGTATTATCTTGAATTTTTCATGATCACGAATACCAATGTCTAATAAAATGGGTGACACTTTTATTCTGATACTCTAAGCAGTATTATAGAATATGTAGATCTGACACTCAAAATGTTTTGTAGGATTATCTTGAAATAACATTTTCCCAGATTATTTTTTCAATTTTTTCTGAAAGTGCAGAACTACCTTAAGCTCTCAATGTATGTCTCTTGTTATAGCTGTCTGTGGTTTATACTTGAACCTCTACTGGCCAAGATGGAGACTGACAACTACAACTTCTTTAAGAAAATGTTTGAAAACATCAAACAGACCAAAGATGCCCAATGTCCAGATGTGGAGGATGCCAATAAGGTAGGGAATAGATGTAGCATATTCTAAGATTTTGTGTTATATGATTTTCATCCGTGAATGGATTATGATGATTTTTCAACAGGGTATTATACCTAGTTCCCAGTTGCTATACTCATAATGCTTAAGATCAGTTGAGAGTTTGTAAATTACAGTACCTTGCTTCTGAGGAATTTAAGGACAAACAATTTCAGGGGAAACATTCAGTTTTAACTTTTCTTTGAGAAAAAAACAGGAGAAAACACAGATACGTGGAACATGAAGTCAATCATTTATTTTCTGAAACTGGGTAAATAACTTATGTATTGATACATGTTACAGAAACTGTATGCTGTATGTGATCTTGCTATGGGTCTTGTACTAAGTGAATGTATTATATACTGATATATGTTACAGAAACTGTATGCTGTATGTGATCTTGCTATGGGTCTTGTACTGAGCAAATGTACCACGACTACCATGAAAGACCATCCTGTTGATCCTGTACTTCCAGCCCAGCTATTCACACAGGTCAATAAGGTATGTGGGAAATGCAGTAAAACTTGTGTATGCGGAACATCTCTAAAAAGTATTTCACTCAGAGGTTCATTAAATATTCAATCAGTATGTCATGAAACTCTGGAAAGTTGCACTTCCATAGGTTCCACTTTACAGATTTACAGATGTTATACACATGTATTTTGTAATAATTTGAAGTATTTGATTATGAGAATGTGAAAAGCATTCACTCTACTCGAATCATAAATCATCTGTTGACTGGATCTTTTTTCAGAAATACACCAACACCAAGATCTACCTTCCCAAGGAGTTTGAATTTCTCTCACCTAGGGTAAGTTTTTGATATCACCCACCCAAGGTAGATTTATTACTGTATATCACCCAGGGCAAGATTCTTAAATTTTAATCCCACACTTGTCCATGATTATATCATTCAAATGGCCCCTCTTGTGTTCCAAGTAGTTCCATTTAGCCTTATTTATGAGCTATGCACTACTCATCCAGGAACCCTTTTGTACATGTTCATAAATTCAAAGCAGCCCAATTGTATTTGAGACCATCCTAACTGGAACTATGCTTATCTCTAGTCAGGAACCCTTTTGCACATGTTCGTAAATTCATTTGTGTTGTATTTAGACAAGTCTATGATTCATTTGTGACTTTTGCATTTAGACTAGTCTATGATTCATTTGTGACTTTTGCATTTAGACTAGTCTATGATTCATTTGTGACTTTTGCATTTAGACTAGTCCATGATTCATTCGTGACTTTTGCATTTGGACTAGTCTATGATTCATTTGTGACTTTTGCATTTAGACTAGTCCATGATTCATTTGTGACTTTTTTACATTTAGACTAGTACATGATTCATTTGTGACTTTGTTGCATTTAGACTACTCCATGATTCATTTGTGACTTTTGCATTTAGACTAGTCCATGAATCATTTGTGACTTTTACATTTAGACTAGTCAATGATTCATATGTGACTTTTGCATTTAGACTAGTTCATGATTCATTAGTGACTTTGGCATTAAGACTAGTCCATGATTCATTTTGCATTTAGACTAGTCCATGATTCATTCTGATTTATACTATCTATGGTACATTTCTGACTTGACATTTCCTACTTTTGCAGTTTTAACCATGTGAACCATTGACCAAATGGTGCCATGTTACATTAGTTAGTGTTGATTTTCCAGAGAGGCAAGACTGGTGTCTCCTCGATGCAGATGGTCAGTCCACCCACTAAAGCTCCCATAAGCCCAATGTCTGCCAGTAGTTCTCCACCCATGTCACCAGATGCTGCTCCAAAGAAAACTCAAAAGTCAACCCTTACACAAAGGTACTGTGAAATAAGTTGTTGATTGACATGTTGACATTGACATGTGTTTCAATAGCAACAGTAACAGTTGGTTTTCCAATGATAACCTGTTTTCGAGGTTTTTGAAACTATTTCCTCCATGTTAAAATTGTTATCCCCAACAACTTAATGTGATTTGTGTATTTATTTTGAATGTGCATCATATCCCCTTAATCACACATTAAACTGAATTGTTAAAAGTGGATTCCTGTTTTTGTAGTAAACGAAGTGCCTCTGAAGAGAATGAGCCTAAAGCAGCAAAACCTGATTCCACAAAACGTAGCAAACCAAAAGATTCGGAGGACACTGAAAATGTTGTACAAAACAGTCCTAAAAAAGCAACGAAGAAAAGAAAAACTGCTCAAACTGAGGTTAAAAAATCTGATAAAAGTGACTCTAAAAAGAAAGATGTTAAAAGTAAATCTAAAACAAAAATGAAATCACCCCCTAGTGGAAATAAATCTATCACAGACTATATGAAGCCAAAAGAAAAGGACACTAAATCAGTGACAAAAACCTCAGATAAAGATTCCAAAAACCCTCAGCGAAATGGACTTGATAAAGACAAGAAATTGAAAAATAAGGCAGTTCCACAATCCTCTAGTAGGGAAACTAGATCTACACCAACTAAACGTAGACCCGGAGACTCTCAAGTTACATCACCACGACGTGCGGCAGCTAGCTCACCAAGTGGCTCTCCTGTAGGTAGCCGTAAGAGATCAGCAAGTTCTACGCCAGAAGAAAGTCCCGCTAAAAGAGGACGACCAAGCCCAGTGAAACCAACCAGGTATGAGTTTGTCATGTCTTTCATATGAAATCCTTAAATGGGCATACATGTAGCTAGGTACGAGGTCTTACAGGTCTTGCCAAAATACAGGAGCCCCGTGTCATTTACACAATAAATCTGAACATTTCAGGGGAGCAGCTGTACGCAACTTGGCCAAGGAAGTAGCCAAAGCCAAGAAAACATTGGCCAAATCACCCAGAAACTTCACCCAGAAATCTCCCACCTCATCTCCAGCTAAATCGTAAGTACCTTTTTAACTTTCCTCTATTACCAATTCATCCATCTGTTTTTCGATTTGTCTGACAAATGAAATCTAGTATTTGTCTGTGAACAAATGCTCATATCTATTTTATGAGGAAGTATTTTAGGTTACTTACACCATTTATCCTTCAACTTTTGTCTTGTTTAGGAGAAATCAGCTTTTTTCAACACATAAGCTCTCTGAGTGGTGTCATTTTTATGTCATCGCCATATGTGGTGACATATTGTTATAGTCTCCAACCTTTTGTAGTGGCAGTTGGTGTAACAAATGTAAAAAAACAGGTGGTGACATTTTGCATGTTTACGCCTTGCTATTATTATATGTTGAATAACAAGATCCACATTGTTCCAGGACAAGATCAAGTAGCAGCAGTTCTCCAAGGAAAGTCAAGGAGCAGACAAAGAAGAACTATCACATGAGGAATAAGGCCAATGTGTAAGTAGCCCTCCCCACCCCTTCCCCTTTCTAATTCATTTCAGATTCTATTGTCATCAGGTTGTATGTATTCAGTGATTTCCTCATGATTAACAGGGTGCTTAATTCTGCCCGTTTTCAATATTTAAAGTATGTATTGCATGCTAAATTCCTCTCGATAATACAAGGTGTTTTTATGTAACATTGGTCAATCAAGGTGTCCAGGTTCGTCATCACAGACTGCTTATTTAATTGGTTGTAATTTAAGGAGGCGTGCCCCAGTAGCCAATGGGACATCAGATGGTGAGGATCAAGAGACGCCAGACAACGACACACCCCTCAGCCCCTCACCTCGTAAGGCTGCTGCCCTAGCTAAGGCCATAGAAACTGTGGGTACAGAGAGTGGAGATGAACTCAATGTAAGTATTTTGTTTTACTCAGAATTTAAGCAAACTTAGCTGAAGTTGACCATGAAGTTTGCGGATGATGTGGAAATGCCTAATTTTATTTGGAACTAATCAGGAATTATATAATTTATTTATGAAATATATTATATGCAGTGGTCTCTCCTGCATTAAATCAGTTGGGTTCAACACCCATTTGAGATTTTAATAATTAGCTTGTATCCAATTAAAGAAAATGAAAAAATTCATAAAAATGGACATATTTTGACCAATTACGGTCTGAATAGTGAAAATGGGAATTTTGCACCCACTTGAGAAAAAACCCTGTGGATAAAGCTGATGTATATCCATCTAGAAAATGTATTCCAGGTTCAAAATAATGAATCTAGCTATATCGCTCCCTTAAAAGACTAGTGAAACCTTGTGTAAAAAACTAATTCTACATCATTTAAAGTATGAAATGTAAAATATTCAACATTAATGTTAATCCTGAAATTTATTTCAAGGTTAAAAGGAAAAGAAGTAAGCGCCTCAAAAGATGATACAACTACAACATGTAGAAGTCAATGACTGCTGTATATACATGTACAAGGCTGTATATACATGTACAAGGCTGTATATACATGTACAAGGCTGTATATACATGTACAAGGCTGTATATGTACAAGCTTCGAGTATGGAATTCTCAGTACTTCTAAACATTTAAAAATGGACTCTTTTCTTTGTCACTATATACTCAATAATGGTACAGTAAAAATATATGCAAATAATTTGTCACAACTGGAAAAATTTCTATAAAAGTTGCAGCAATAGTAGATCATGTTACTATGGGCACAAACTGTTGCCGTGTAACCAGTTTTTAACTGTTGCTAAAGAGATGTGCTTTGTAAATAGAGATGATATTATTATATTATGTTGAAATTGAAATGCAGTTTGATTAATTATCAGAAAAATAGTTCACAATGAATACTTTCAGATGAAATTGATTTTTACCAATCACAATCTGACACCAAACCTATAGACGGCTCCTAGATGTAAAATATGAGTAGACTTATAGATAGTGTAAATATGTGAATCTTTAATGAAATAGACATTCTGTAGATTTTCTAAAAAGACCAATACATGTATAAATGTATATTGTAAAGTTGTAAAACTTTTATATTGTTATTTAAATGTTTTAGCCTGGTTGAATTGATGTCATGTTTTATAGCTTGATGTCATCTTTGACAGGTTTATGTCAAGTTTGACAGAGAATGGATCAATGAGCATAGAGTAGAATATGAGGAGTTAGAAAAATATGAAATACATAAACATAAAAATAGAAAATATGGCGCCTCAAAAAACATTCATTATGAAGGGAGGAAAATGAAATATAATGGTTGAAAAAAAGAAATATGAAATATTTCTAGTACCACCCATCTTTTGTTTCACCCCCTCCCCCAGCCTGGAAGAAAGGAAGAATAATACATTGGTGCCAACTTACTTCAATCCTTGTGTTGAGTAATTTTTTTTTATTTTCCAAATATATTAAATTCACTGTGGCCATATGTAATATTAATAGTGTTCCAAATATGATAACCAAACTGCTTCAAATTCATTGTAGTCATGGTAATATCCCAATGAAATGCAATTGTTAACTGCAAACAAAATTAATTTTTGTTCACAATGAATAGGTTTCATTTTCCTCTGTAGAGTAATTTTGTATGATGCTTACAGATGGCGGGTTCTAAGAAGTTATCTTATTTTATTTGATTAAAGATAGGTGGCAGGTCTGTAGCTGCTCTGACACCATCTTTTTGAAGTCAAGTTTCATTTTATATTTAAACATGTGTGTTTTTAATCATGTAAGGATGTCAATTGTCAAAACTGTTAAAAGAAATGTAGGGTACCCCAGTAGCCAAAGTTTTCTCACAACTTAAAATTGCTGTCATAGCAAAATGATGCATTTAATAGTTTCTTAAATTGAAATTGAGATTTCAACAAAATTTGAATTTTTATCAATTATGTCTGCTATTTTATGCTATGATAAGAATTGACCATTTAATCAATTTAGAATGAAATCAATTTTGTTGAATGTTCTTGTTAAAAAAGTTAATTCTGCTGAAAAGAAGTATTGATGTGGTCAACAGTGTTAACTGTACACTGGTGAACAATATTGAACAGACAATGTGGCACCTATGTTTAATAGTAATGTACAATTGTACATGGATCTTTAGTTTCAAACAATAAATACGTTTGTGTATATTGAAGTAGATTATAGATTTATGTTAAGTTTATTTACATACCTCAAATTAATTTTGAAATGACTGTGTATGGGCTTATTGCCCATTTTGGAGTATCCAATGTTACGGATTTATTAAACTATGGAATCGCTTATTTATGTTACACAATTACGTTGCATAATGTTTCTCTATCTTTTGAAGTTTTTAAATGCCATATTTTGCAATACGTTACCAAATAACAAACTCTTTAAATGATTTAACAACGGCCCGTGGTCGCCTCATTCAGCTCATTGGACTGAAAGATACAATGAAAAATACATCACAAACGTTAATATCAATATCATATCTTATCTTAGCTCTCGATATTCTGTATTGGCACTCGACTTCGTCTCGGTCCAAGACGGAATTTCTCGAGCAGAATCCTGTATTGCACTTCAAATCATTCAATAACTTATAGGATAGTATACACATACGCTAAGGTCTTTCTATTCCTACAATCTTATAAATATATCAAGCGTATACATTACAGACAGTGCATATCATAGTTTGCTATCGTCTTGTCCCTTTTCAACTGTGGGGTTTTGTCCATTTGCTTTCATATCCATGGTTGTAGGTTTCTGTTCCATTGCAGTTGTCGCAGATGTAGAACGCGTGACGTAAGCGTTTGAGATCCCTGGTGTGCGACTAAATCTTCCACAGCAAAGCATCGTCTTCAGTTCTGTCCTAAAGGCCTTTCCAGTCAGACAATACAGCCAGAAGTTCAACACACTGTTGATCTGTTGTACGAACTCTGCAATTCCTTTGGCAAATTTCAGATTGGCCATGTTGTTGCCAGTAGAGGTGAATTCATCATTGAGTGATAAGACCATGCAGATAGCTACAGGGAGGGTCAGCATTAAAAACATCGTGGAGGTAGAGACCAACATGATGGCGATGGATGTCGTACTACTTTTTTGGGCGCTGTCAGATGTCGCCACCTGTCGTTGCCGATCAGACTGGATTAATTTTGTGATAATTGTAATATTGCAGATGATCATCAAGACAAATGGCACAAGAGACGCAATACTGAGGTCCAGCCATAAGAATATAATCACAAACTGAGGACCCATCACTTCAGCGATATTATCCACGAGGTCGCAATAATAGAAGCCATCATATTCTGTGAGCGAGAACGTCCAGAAGATATGAGCGTTCACTCCAGTGAGGATAAATGCAATGGTTCCCAACACGATACAAGCAGTTCGTCTTCGACAGACGATCCTAGCCTTCATGGGGAAATAGATGAATACAATACGCTCACAACTGACCGCTACGAGAATCCAGGCGACAAAGTGGACCAGAAAGTAGCTGACAAATCGAAATACCTTGCATCCGGCGACTGTTTCATCCGACATCCACACTTTGAAGACGATTTGAAGCCAGGAGTCTAAGCTGAACATATACAATAAAAGAGTGTCGCAGATAGCTAAGATCGTCAAGTAGAGTCCCCACGAAGATTGACGGAATTTTTTCCGCATTAATACTGCGATGACAAGAATGTTACTGATCGTTCCAAACACAAGAAGCAACGGTGCCCCGAACATCCATGTTTTTTCCTCGTCGTTGGATTCATGCGCTTCGTCATCGTAGAAGAGCGACTCGGTTACGTTTGTCTGCGATTCACTAAAGTTGAATGGTAGCTCTGTAAAGTTCAGCAGCGACTCACTCGAATTTAGATACGATTTGGTGAAATTTGGGACAGACATAGTAAAGTTAATTTGTGACTCGCTAATATTGCTTTGTCCAGACATTTATAACTTTTGTCCGTCAACGATTTGTAATAAGTGTTAGAAGTTATTGGTGTTGGCGAAGTATTTTTCTGTATCAGGAAGCAGAATAGTTGTTTGTTCCTTAAACAGTTCAATACATTTTGCAGCCTCAATAAAATGTTCTGTTACGACTTGGAAATATTAAAAGTTACTCCCTTGGAAAGTCAACAAGATTTTTCAAAATTAGAGTCGTCTATGGCTTTGTAAAACATTTAATAACGATTCCAAGTCACGGATTGAATGATGTTTCTTCTCAGTATGAAATTGAAGTACTCCTAATATCAATATTGTTATGTCAATGACACGACTATCGTTTTAATCCATTAATCTATTAATCCAGACCCGCGTTTGTTTTAGTAGATGCGTCCATATCCTAATAACTGAACAATTATAATCCTATGGTAGTTATCCTAATGTATAAGTGCGATCAATCGTTTTGTTATATCTTGATTGGTTGTTTTTTAGGACTCATCCACTCTATTGTTTGATTGTCTTGTCCTTATATAGATTTATGGTTTATCTGCTTTTAGTTGGTTCGCACGAGCCATCGAATTTTATCCTTTAACGAGAGAAAGCTCATTCCAGGATATCGTCCACTGGTCAATCTACTTATTGCGCCAGATTGAACTGTTTCTTACTTAACAACGTTTGTATTGCTCTTCTGTTAATCACTCAGCACACATTGTCAATACCTATGGCTTATTTTTGTCCCCACCGACCGTAATCAACATATATTTCCATAATGAAATTTATCATAGATGAAAATAGGATTACTATTTTTAGTGCTAATCTTGAACAACTTTCAGTCAGTATAGAAAAACCTAAATTCTATATCATTCGTCACAGAATACCACGACGATTACTAGTTCATTTTCCTTATATGTATCGCAGGTTCTTCAACCAATAGAGTTCCCATTTAATGAGCGACTGAAGATTGTATACTGTCAGAAAAATTCATTATGCACTTATGGGGAAAATATGGATAGTTTTTCAATTTGATTTAGATATCAAAGAAAGATTTACAAATACGAATGATAAATTGTACCTTGTTTGTAGTTTTTGTAATTGCTTGAAATGATAAACTAGTTATGGCAATTGTACAAATAATATTGACGACGATAACTAATATTCACCATGCTCTGGATTTGATATGGAGTAATTTACTGTAGTATCCAATTACGCAATACTTATTGAGAAAAGTAAAATTGATTCATACTGGTAGGAAATTGTATTCCTCAAGATATAGGATGTAATATAATGCGATTTAAAATATACCAATTTTATATGCACACTCCCATCTTACACTTTGGCCTCTTTATGTTTGAATTCAGTTTATTTACAGGGTGTCAAGTTAAAAGTCTTGCCAACAGGCCAAGAGCATGTTTAAGTTTATGTTTCTTTATTTCCTCCGTGTTGGGGAGAGCATAGCCTTGCCCAAGTCGGTATTTTTTTTACTAATCTGATCTTGAATTAATAATAGAAATCAAGATAAGTAAAAGAGACCGACTTGGGCAAGGCTAGGGAGAGCATAAAAATGTACATCAAATTAAATTACATAATTTACTTCATCATATTCCTTAGATAAATCTTTTAAAAATGTGCAAGCGAAATAAACCTAAAAAGTAACTTAATCGACCTATAAATAATGATCACTGGATTTTCGGTGTCTCTTAACACTAATCAAAGACATTCACATCTTTGAAAATAATAATACACTGTGTCCCTTTAATTAAATACTTTGCAATCTTTAATTCAAGCTTTTATTTGACAGTGACTTAATTAATAAAGACCGTGTGATAAAACAGACAAAAACGGAATAAATACCACTGGTCAACAGCCAAAATACCACTTGGTAACAGACAAAAACGGAATAAATACCACTGGTCAACAGCCAAAATACCACTTGGTAACAGACAAAAACGGAATAAATATCAATGGTCAACAGCCAAAATACCACTTGGTAACAGACAGAAACGGAATAAATACCAATGGTCAACAGCCAAAATACCACTTGTAGTATGGGAGCAAAGGTCATTCCGTGTCCTTTTTAGAGGCGAGCTAAGCGACATATATTTTCATGAACTATACGTGATACTTACCAAGAAAAATGATGTTGGCAATTTTGAATCCGCGACGGCGTTGCTATGGTAACCAAGTAAATATGCCACGCCCACTTTTAGGGTCTCCTTTCAGTGTATGGTCCCTATCTCTGTCATTATTGCTCAGATTAAGATGAAATTCACACCAAATGGAAGGTAATGGATAATGCAATCAGGAAATATTAATTTGGCAATTTTGAATCCGATATGGCGTTGCTATGGTAACAAAGTAAATATGCCACGCCCACTTTTCGGAGCTATTTTCAGTGTTTGGCCCCTAACTTTGTCATTATTGCTCAGATTTAGATGAAATTTGCACCAAATTAAAAGTAATAAATAGAGCAATCAAACAATTTTTAAAATATGCAAATATGGTGATTTGCATTTCAACTATGACGTCATAACTGTTTGTTCTTGCATATTTTATTACAATCATAATGTATAAATCTGGGAAATCATTGTCTTTAAAATGGTCAGTATAATGCTTTTGACTAGTTTAGTTTATTTATTTTAGTTGAGTTTACTAGTTTATTTCATTCATACATGTATGATCATAAGAATTGAATAAATATAATGAAAGTGTCCAATTCACACTGTTGCTTTGGTGACAGCATGTAACAAAACTATCTGCTGTAAACAAGAATTCTTTAGGAAATGTTACATTTTGACCAGTTGACGGACATGTATTCTTTTTAAAATTTGGAGACAGAAAATAATCTAATAATAACCATAGTTATTAAATTTGGATTGTGTTATATTATGATGTCATATTGGCAATTTTTAATCAGGGGCACAGCCAGCTTTCAGTCAGAAGGGGGCCTGCGATCGTGGCACAGGCAACCCAAAAAGATAGGTTTTGAATATTACAAAAATTGATGCAACTTCCTTCAAAATTTAGCAAAAAGCTTCAAGTTGAAAGTATTCTTTTACCTAATGGTTCTATTTTTATTGGTTATTAGAGGGTGGGTGAACCCAGCGCACCCCCATCCCCCTAAGCACTGCCTATGTTAATCCAATATACTGTTGCTATGGTAACCATTAGGTGAATATGCTAGGTAAATCAGACAATACATGAATAATGTAGATTGGCTGACTGACATACTAAGTACCTGTTATGATATCATAGCTGCTTTTTGTGATTATTTTCTTGAAATAAGGTAAAATTGGTCAAAATGATTCCACTGTAATAGACATTGGTACTAACTATTCCATTAATCGCCTAAAAACACTTGACAAACATTTAACAAAACACAAAATGTAATAATAAATTTCACAAATCCCTGGGATTTAATTGACAATTTTGCTAAGATTAATTTTACCAAGCACGAAACTAAATAGCAGTCTACATGACCTAAAAAGATGAAATAGGCTAAAGTATTGACCTATATCATAAAATGATATTATTTTTATGTAAATTGACATTGAACATATTTTTCAGATTTCAAAACCATTAGCAGCTATTAATGCTACAATGGGTATGCCAGTCAGTCAATCAACATAATCCATGCATTGTCTGAATCTTTAGCTTCAATTTGGTGAATATTTCATATACACTCAAGCTGTAATCATGACAAAGATAGAAGCAAAACTTTGGAAAAGCCTGAACAGTGGGGATGGCATATTCACCTAGTTACCATAGCAACATCATATTGGATTAACATAGGCATTGCCAGGGATTTCGATGGGTGCGCCCCCATAAACAAAAAATAGAACCATTAAATAGGAGAAGAGCTTTAAAATCATTTTTACTTGAAGCTTCTTGCTCAGTTTTGAAGGAAGTTGCATCAATTTATGTAGAATTCAAAACAAATCTTAAAAACATTTTTGGGTTGCTTATGCCACGATCGCAATCCCCCCCCCCCCCCTCTTCTGATTGAACGCTGGCTGCACCCCTGATTATTAATTGCCATTATGGCATCATAATATAACACAATTTAAATTAAATAATTTTTTATAGTCATAAGATTATTTTCTGTCATCATATTTTAAAAAGAATACATGTATCAGTCAACTAGTCAAAATGTAAAATTATTTTTACATCAGATAGTTTTGCTACGTGCTGTAACCATAGCAACAGCATAAATTGGAGATTTTCATTACATTTTTAGATTTATTCAGTTTTAATGACTATGCAAGTATGAATGCAATAAAATTATAAACTGAACTAAAAGAAATAAACTAATTAACTAGTTAAAAGCCTTACTGACTACATTGTATTTTAAAGACAATAATTTCACAGATTAATACATCATTATTAAGATAAAATATGCAAGAACAAACAGTTATGACGTCATAATCAATATGTAAATAATCCTTTTTGCATAGTTTACTAACTGTCTGATTGCTCTATCTATTACCTTTAATTTGGTGCAAATTTAATCTAAATCTGAGCAATAATGAAGAAGATAAGGGCGAAACACTGAAAATAGCCCCTAAAAGTGGGTGGGCATATTCACTTTGTTACCACAGCAACGCCATCGTTGATTCAGAATTGTCAACTTAATACCTCCTGATTGCATTATCTATTACCTTCAATTTGGTCTGAATTTCATCAAAATCTGAGCAATAATGGTGGAGATGGGGGCCAAACACTGAAAATAGCCCCTAAAAATAGGCATGGCATATTTACTTGGTTACTATAGCAACGGCATCGTAGATTCAGAATTGCACATAATATTTCTTGATCATACTTTATACCTGTAAAGAAATATAATGAAAATCAACCATAGTTTTCAGCTTTGCCCTACTTTTATGGTGAATGTCAAAGGACAAGGTACTAATTTGGAATCATCTTGAGCAATTTTATCTTATTTGAAGAAAATAATCACGAAAACAGCTATGATAGTCATACCATAACAGGTATGCCAGTTTGTCAATTTGCATTCCCCATGCATTGTCGGATTCTTTAGTTTCCATTTGATGAAAATTTCATATACACCAGAGCTATCATCATGCCAACTGATAGAATCAAAACTTTGGAAAAGACCTGAAATTGGGGACGGCATATTCGCCTGAATAGCATAGCTAACATAGGCATAGCCAGGGGTGATGGGGGCACCCCCCCCCCCCATTAACCAATAAAAATATAACAATAGAACCATTAGAGAGAAGAAGAGATTTAAAATGCTTTTGACTTGAAGCTTCTAGCTCAATTTTGAAGGAATTTTTGTAAAATTTAAGACAAATTAAACATTTTTGAGTTTCTTATGCCGAGATCGCACCCCCTTGATTGAAAGCAAGATGCGCCCCTGATTGAAAGCTGATTGCGCCCCTGATTGAAAGCTGGCTACGCCCCTGATTCATAATTGCCATTATGACATCATAATATAACACAATTTAAATACGATACGTTTCTATCGTTATAAGGTTATTTTCTGCAATCAAATTTTAGAAGGAATACATGTCAGTCAACTGGTGAAAATGAAACATTTCCCAAAGAATTATTTTTACAGCAAATAGTTTTGCAACATACTGTTACCATAGCAACAACTTGAATTGGATATTTTCATTACAATTTTTCATTTCTATGACCATACATGTATGAATGAAATAAACTAATAAACTTAACGAAAATAAATAAACTAATTAACTACTTAAAAGCATTACTGACCATTTTAAAGACGATAATTTCCAAGATTTATACATCATGATTAAAATAAAATGTGCAAGAACAAATGGTTATGACGTCATAATTAATATGCAAATCACCTTATTTGCATATTTTGTAACCTGTTTGAATTGCTTTTTCCATTACCTTTCATTTGGTACAAATTTCACCTAAATCTGAGCAATATTGACAAAGATAGGGACCAAACACTGAAAAGAGCCCCTAAAAGTGGATGTGGGACATTTACTTTGTTACCATAGCAACGCAATATTGGATTCAGAATTGTCAACTTAATATTTCCTGATTGCATTATCCATTACCTTCCATTTGGTGTGAATTTCATTTAAATCTGAGCAATAATGACAGAGATAGGGGCCATACACTGAAAAGAGCCCCTAAAAGGGGCGTGGCATAATGACTTTGTTACCATAGCAACGCCGTCGCGGATTCAGAATTGCCAACATCATTTTTCTTGATCAGTATCATGTATAGTTCATGAAAACATATGTCGCTTAGCTCGCCTCTAAAAAGGACACGGAACCTCTTATTTGGACTTTTGCTCCCACACTATTGGTGGTAAAGGCTTCGATTTTCATATATATTACTTGTATACTCTGATGTCGATGTTAAAAAGTCGCAATATTCCCTAAATGAATTATACAATCGAATTGTTCATTCCAAATCATGAGTTCGATCTCCCGTAGGCGTCCACATTTGATATATCGTGCAGTGGAAACTCTTCAAATTAAAAGCTATCAGATTAGAGGCAATTGCTATATTCCCTTTGAAGACACGCACAAATATAAGACTATTAGAAATAAAATATGTTTTCGTTTAATTGGAAGTTTGATTTGATGATCCCACGCTGAAACTGCTATGTTCGCTTCTTACAATATTTTTGCCTTTATTTGTTGACGAGTAAATTATTTTCTTACTCGCACCACACTTATCTAAATTGAACGTCGAAACTACTTCTCTCTTTGAGGGGAATATTTGAAAGGTAGCGCAAGGGCCGGGCACAAGGGCTTGGTGAGACTAAATTGAACGTAAAAACTACTTCTCTCTTTGAGAGGAATATTTGAAAGGTAGCGCAAGGCCGGGCACAAGGGCTTGGTGGAACTATTTTATCAATAGAAGTGATGTATTTTGTTCGTTGATACGCGTACAGGGGCATAGCCAGAATCTAAAATTAGGTGAGGTAAATTGAATAGGTGAGGCAAAAAGTTAGTTGAGGCACTAAACTGTATTGTAAGTTATTTTCACGCTTTCTATTAAAAATGTCTGCTGACTGATATCTTTCTGTAACTCTTGCAAGGCAGTCACCTCATCTGCCGAAAGTATGCCCCACCTAGGCAGACATATACCAATGTATCCAGAGTATGTGTCATATATCATTTTAAAGCTCCTCCAAAATTAAATTGATATGCCAAGTACCATGGTTCAACTCACAAATTGGAAAAAAGTTACAGGCATTTCAAAATTTAGTGCTAGGCCAAAATTAAAATCAGTTTTACACCAAAATAATAGTCGGTGAGTCTCCCGAGGCCTTGTTCACAGCAACAATGCTTTCCATATGACCTTAACGTGCTTCATATTGGGATGTGGCATTTTGTAATCCTCACTCCTTTTTAAGGCATTCTAGAACAGTATCCTTGGAGTATCTATAATTCATTTTCAAATTAACCGTTAAAATTTCATAAAAATTTGCAAATAACTTACTAAAAGATTTGTCATATTTGATACAAAAAGAACATAAAAATGGACGATGTTGCTAAAACAACATTTTCTCTAAACTAGATACTTCCCTGATGAAGCTTTCAGATCTCTTTGATTATAAAATTGTCCGTCAGATGACAAGATGTGTGAATACTTGGCCATTGCTAATTTGATAGGACACTATATATTGACTGGTAAGTGAATAGTTCAACAAGTTAAACCTAGTCTGGGCCTTATTTCTTATCTGACATATCTTGTGGCCCGCCCTAGGTTTAACGTCCGTGCCTATTCGGCCCTTGATGCAAAAAATTTAATGGTGGCCTATGGTACCGCATGGAATTCCATGCGCGTTTAATTAATAACTGATAGTGAGAATTTGCAACAAATGAAAGCATAGCACGGAAGTTAAACCCAACCACGGCAACAAGAACATTCAGATTAATAAATGAAAGCCGTGGTATTGGGTTTAACTTGTTGAACTAGTAAGTGAATTGATATAATGATGGAATGCCTTTTAAGCTTGGCGAGCAGTGAACCCCCGGGTACTCGCCCTATGGTAACCAAAGCAAACGTAACACTCGTTTTGTTAATGGATTTTATGTTGTTGGTTTATGAGAGATAGTCCGGCATGATCTCTCTTCCATGATAATCTTTTAATATAGTGATCCTGATTCCCTTGGAATAAAATACCATGGGAATACAGAGTAAAACGTGAAATAAAAAGGAATACCAAAAAATTGGAATTTTACGATGTATATCAGCGAATATCCACCTGTCCCCTTGTATAGAAGTTAAAATATACTTGACACGTATTTCATTATCGGAGATTTGAAATCATATAAGAGTGAAAAGGGAGATTCTTAAGCGTGGGACTCCATCGTTGTTTGAGCCAACTGATTGGTTTTATTAATTCAATGACGCTAGAATACAATATTTTAAGAGTTAATCACCCAAGGGAGCTTAATACCCAGAATGCAAATGTATCCCATACTGTGTATTAAGCCAATCAGATTAAGAGTGTGCCTGAGTGGACCCACCTCATTATCTGGGTTATGCAAATCATAATTGAGTTGATGGATATTTGATTTGAGCAAGAGTGATTAAATCACCACTCTAAGATACCTTCATATGGTGTTGATTACAAGATCAATATGAAAAACATTTCAAGATGAGAGTATAAGTAAACAAAACAATTCACTGGATGAAGTTTACATCAATTTCATATCCGCTCTTTTGTATTCACATCTACATGTATAATATTGTTCAAAATGCCATATTTAACAAAAAAACAATTTACATGAAGGTAAGAATGCTACAGTAACAGTTACTGAACCATTTAATATTGAGAAGAAATGAGACGTCATAGTTTATCATGCTAGTACTGGACAGTCTGGTACATTTTTGCAATTAAAAGAAATATATCCATGCTTTTAACTGTTTATCATGTATATTGTATACCCAAGGAAATTTATTAATAAACTAAATCAAGTACAGTAGTCATTCATCTATTTCAGGTAATCAGTTTGTAATATATTCAGACATCTTATGAATCAAATGCAAATACAGAATAAAATTACTATCAAATTACTAAAAATGCTAAAATTGGCCAAATGTAATCTGCAGAATAAATATGGCCTGATATATTGCACTTTGAAGCACTAGGTATTAATAAAAAATTAGTTTCTTTTTAGTACTTGTTCCAGGCTATTTCACACAAACTTGAATAAGGCCCAATGAATTGATTGTTTGTTTAATAAATAATTATTTTTGGCTGAAAAAGTCAGTTGAGTGGCATATACTTTATCACTGCAGTGAAACCTGTATACCTTAACACATCTCTGATGCAAACATCTCCCATAGTGAACACATTTTTCATTCCATTGAAACACATGTTAAAAATACTTGGAATGCGAATACCTCTCAATTTGAACAGTGGATAGTAATATTTGAAAAATTCTCACTTTTCAAAACTATTAATACGAATGTTTTGTTCAAAATTGCAAAACTTTTGGCAAAAAACATTTGAATAAGATTTACAAATAATTGGAATGCCAATAAGCCATGTAGTCAATAAATATAAATTATCACTGAGAATTTGGTCATATTTCTTCAAAATCCTGAATCTCACGAATTTAAAAACCTCAAAATGTGAACATTTCCCAATCCGAATATTTTTAGCCAGTCCCAATGGTGTTAAGATTGGACAAGTTTTATTGTATTATATTGCAAAAAAGATATGAAAATAAAATTTCTAAAATCTTCAAAAGGCATTAAAAAGATTTTTGGGATATGCCCCTCCTAAACAGTCAATGAATTTGTAATGGCCTAAAGCAGTGATACACTATATAAAGTACATTGTATTTGATACGTGCCACTTCTGTGGTCTACATGGTATGCTACTTCAAGTGCTCCAGCTCATTAAAGCTTTGAAATCTGATATTTAATCCTATGATTCCACAAGTTTTTGTGGGTTACTTCTTTTGGTCACATGTTTTCTATAGTTGAACAATCACCAACTAAAATTGTATTGTTGAATCTTTCACTTGCATATTATAAAGTATTAGTTTGGAGATATCTAAAAATTGATATACATTGGTAGCCATTTTGAATTTAGCTTGAACAAAATAAAAAGTATGTGTTTGGTATAATGCAACTTAACTAAAAGTAGGCTTTTATTGAAACTAAAATTCTTAAAGATTCTCCTGGAAATTTTAAGATAATTGAGTGTCAAACTGTCCTCCACGCAAATCTGACATCATTTTATATCTTCTCTTCAGTCATTATGTTTGACATCAGAATAAAACAAAACTCAGTCATAATGTATAACATCACAATAAAAAACTTAATCATGACATCTCAATAAAACAGAACTCAGTCTAAGGCCTTGTCAGACTTGTTTTTAAAAAGGATATTGCTCTTTTTTATCTCTGTATCTCTGTGTTATACTGCTCTCCATACAAATAACAATCTCTAAAATTTTCAATAGTTAAACGTCTGAGGATACATCATAGTGGTTTGAAATTCTGTCCAAGATATTTTCTGTTAAGTTCAGCGAGAATGATAGAATATTGCATGGCTTTCTCTTTAGGAATGTTACTATAAACGTCCTCCATTTCTCTACTGGAACTGCTGTCCTCGTTGCTACCTGCAATACCACAAAATCACAATGTTTTACTTTTATGGATACTTATAATTTAAGTTCAGACAATAATACATGATAACATACATATTGTTTATATTGAAAATATTTTTTTTTGATTATTTGAAATGTGAACAATAAGAGAGTTAAATCAATTCTAGGACCAGATTTCTACACTCTCTCCACCTCTTATATGTCGTTCAATGATCTATCTGGGGATGGCCATTCTCCTAAGAAGGTGTCCAGAATCCGTACCTCCATCTTCCCCCCTGCTATAAGCAGTTAGCATTTCCCCAATTAAGAACTCGCAATTTGATTCGCTGTTGCAACACTGCGACAGCAATCATGTATACGTCATCGGTGCGTAATTAGATCACGTGATTCAGTTTAATCAGGCACTTCCAACTTGGTTATAGCAGGGGGTAAAAAGAAAGAAGATATTCTGAATTTTAAAGCCCTGTGATCGGAGGATGGGGGATGCCCAGCAAGTTGGTTCTTTCATGGACCTATATTCTATTTTTTTAAATATTTTTTATGTTTGAATCAGAATATAATGATAATGATAGGTCATTCAATATGGTGAAATTACACACTCATTGGACAGAATGTCAGTAAAAATGCACTCACCTTCAGTTCGTGCTTTGTCCAACACATGCTGAATTTCACCATATAAATGGCCTATCATTATTTATTACTAAAATGAAGATATTATAATTCACGATAAAATGTCTATAAAATACTACAAAATATTAAAATAAAATGAACTGAGTTACCATCTTTCACTTGAGTAGGCATCTGCTGGGAAGTGTCCGTTGGTTTACTGCGCTGCAAATGTGCTCTAGATGGCCGACCACGTCCCACCTTAATACGTGGCTTGTCCCGTGGCTTTTCTATGGGAGATTCAGATTTACTGGTTGTTGAGCTGGTTGAATCCTGTGATAAAGGAGGTAGTTTTTAAGACTCATTACCTATTTATATGGTCTGGACAAATGTTCAACTTAGGGCCATTTCCTAAAGCTTTTATAGATGATGATTTCTGAATCAACAGTTATAACCAAGGAAACAATGATGTTATATTAAATGAACAACAGATTTAAGAATTTTGCTTTTTTGGGCTCTTGAACCAGCTACTATAGCTACGTTAAGCCTGCATTCCAACTGGCAAATAAGTGATTTCCCTCTGATGATTCTGTGTGATTTAAAAGTTTTGATGTTGATAAGATCTTTATACAAAAATTATCTCAAATGTAACTTCAAGAGCCTTTTATGTGAGTTTGGATTCCATGTTATAAACCTTTTGTTGTAAATCTTGTGAGCTTCAACTGATAACAGATTCACTGTGATATTTCTCTTAACAACCAATCAAATTCAGAGTTGCAGTTTTATCAACCAATCAAATTCAGAGTTACAGTTTTATCAACCAATCAAATTCAAAGTTACAGTTTTATCAACCAATCAAATTCAGAGTTACAGTTTCATCAACCAATCAGTGTTCACCAAAAACCAATTGAATATAATGCACCTACCATTCTTGTTCTGAGAGACTGTGTTCTTGCTCTTCTTGACTTTATTGATCTATTTCTTATACCCTGGACATCTATGACATTGCAATAACGTGTGGTTTCCTTCCTCACACGTTCACTGAGCGCCCTTTGACGAGTTTGAACCACCCCACCAGGTTTACCTAAAGTAGATAATTAAGAAAGGATTCATAATTATTTTTTTAAAGCTATTTTCTGTCCCTCTCACAGTTTTCAGTGACTGAACATGGCATATACATGTACTGTATATTACTGTATTTGTATTGTAGATGTTTTCCAAGATTATGTAGATTATTTGATTGAAATCAGCCAAACTAAAGTGAACCCTCATGCTCCTCCTTAACCTTAATCGTTATATTTTATGTAAATCTGTATTTAGAAATACAAATATTACATACAAAGAGACACTAGAGACACAGATATATAATGGAACATAGCACAGGTTGTTTCATACATTCTCCCCCTTCAAACTTTTGAACAGTAAAACCTGTAAAGTGGAACACCTTTGTAAGTGGAATACCTCTATAAGTGGAACACATTTCTAAGTCATGTTATCCATAATGCCTGCAAGTGGAACACCTCCCAAGTGGAACACTATCTAGAGGTAAAAAATGTGTTCCACATACAGAGGTCTTATTGTATGCAGATGACTCGGACATTAGTGTTATCTAAGATTGCATAAAGGTGCAAATTATCAGAAACAAATTGAAAGTTATGACTATCATATATCATTGCGGTATGCCTTACTTGTTCTAACATTTTGAATATTTGTCTTAAAAATCTTTATGAAAAACTAGCAATCTACCCGTTTGAGTAGGTGACCAAGGGGCACAACAGCCCCCACATGGCAGCATAGCAGCCCCCATAAAATGCTAGATATCTATTACCTGTAAATTGATCATTGATCGTTTGACCTTGACTGATGCCTGAATTGAGGTGAGCTTGCTAGGAAATGCCAAGATATTCCCCTTTGACCTTGAGATCTTGGCCCATAAAAACTTTGACCTCAGGTCACCTAATCATGAGTTCTTAAGGGTCACAGTACCCTTCAAGTACATTAAAACACCAAACACTTATATATCAATCTTTGACCTTGAGATGATCTTGTCCCATAAATATTGACCTTGACCTCAGGTAACCTAATCATGGCTTGCTAGGGTCACAGCAGCACCCAGGATCTTAAAACTCCAAAAACTCCTAAGGACCTAGATATTGACATTGGAATGACCTTGACCTCAGGTCACCTAATCATGGGTTGCAAAGGGTCACAGCAGCCCCAACAATCCTTAAAACGAGAAATATTTAGATATCAACCTTTGACTTTGACCCATAAAAACTGACCTTGACCTCAGGTCAACTAATGATTCGTCAAGGGTCACAGTAGCCCCAAGGACCTTATATCACCGAATATGTAGAATGCCCACGGACCCACTTAGTATGTTGACCATGTGTGAGAGCCCAAGGTCAAACAGTCTATGAGGAGATGTCAAGACAGACAGAGAGACAGACCACTGTGTCTTATAGTAAGAAGAAGATAAGCCTTACCTAGACCTTTGTCTTTCTCTGGTGTTCTCGTCTTTAGTGTAAAGCTGTGGCCACAGCCGCATGACTTGCATGCTACTGGGATCTGAAACATAAAACAGTAGTTGACTCTTAGTTATGTAAATCTGACCGTTGTATGCTGTTCTTCGATGTTCCTTGTTCTTATTTGGATTTTTATTTTTTATTTTCTTAGCATACACCACCGTATACAAGAAAATAATAATAAAAAAAATATCCAATTAAGAAAAATAACATTAAATAACAGCATACGGTGGTCAGATTTATATGACTACTGACTCTTATGCTGTCACGATTTGCCATAATTTGAGGTTCCATCTTAAATGGAGATAGGTTCATCTATGAATTAACAAATGGCCTTGATTTGTCCGATGATGTCCATTGAAAAGAATTAACATATTAATTATTTCATTCTCATTTCATTGGAGAAAACTGAACAATGTCTGGCAGACAACATCGGACGAAATAGAAGAATGACATGGACAATGTCCCTTGATGTACAAAGTCTGTACTTCTCTGTACATGTCCACTGAAAAATTTAACTTTATAACTCCATTGATGTCCAATCATGTTCGATTGGTACGGCTAGCTTTAGAGATGTCAAATTAATAATTAATGCGGGATTTGGGTTATCTGATTGGAACAAATAACCACCCTACTTCAACTTTGAGCATAGATGGTCGGATTTATATGACTAAGCCTATCGTGTTGTTGAGATCCATCCAGTATGTGGGAAACTGCAGCAGGGAACAGTCAGCACCATCTATCTAATATCTAATATAATAGAAACAAAAATGGGAGTCCAAACCGGAAGTCAACAAAAGAGTAACCGCACTTTCAGTCTAATGTCTATGTCAATAATCTGCAAAACGCTATTACAGTCAAAACAGAAATGTTTGGGAGTACTTTGAATTTAAAAAATAAGCAATCAAATGACCATATTGAAACAGTTTATGTAAAAATAGAAACATTTATATTTATCCTAACTTTTGTATATTTTAGTTTGTTTTGTAATTTAGCTATCATATCTGTGTCCTCTTATATTTTGATACTTCTCTGCCATGTTATTTTCGGAAAAATTAACATGGCTGAAACTCCCTAAATTACAAAAGGCCACAGCTTTGCTGCACATTAGACTATACATTACTATCTGAAATATACAAAAGTTAGGATAAATATCAATGTTTCTATTTTTACATAAACTGTTTCAATATGGTCATTTGATTGCTTTTTCAAATTCAAAGTACTCCCAAACATTTCTGTTTTGACTATAGCCCATAAGATAACTGAATAATGAAGATTGATAGTGCTCACTATGCAGCAGGGAGCTATTAAACTGTGTTCTATATGGTTTTTCAGGCTAAAGAAAATATGAACCAATGCAACAGAAATAATCTCGCACAGATTGAGGGCAACCAAGAAAATTCATAAAAAAAGTTTACTTCCGGGTGGGCGATAATGCATTACTTACGAATTTTTCACACTTCGGGCATGTTTTCGTCGCAGTACTTCGACCTTGTCTTGGAGATGTTGATTTCATCGTGGTGTTTGTTATTCAGCAATTATACAGACTCAATCCGAGTCGCTAGATTCACCCAGAGAGCTCGATATTTTCTTATAAAAACATGAAAGTGATATTAATAAAAACAACAACAATGGCTGCCGAATTCTCGTTTCTTGCTCTCGTGCACCTGTCATCTTGACAGCTGTTTCATTAAACAATTTCGACTATTGTTCGTAATTTTCAATGAATAACCTTTAACATCACTGATTATCATAGTTGTCTCAATGATTATATTGTGCGATTTTAGGCTATTATGATTACTTTCCATATTTTTTAGCCATGATTTCTCAATTCTCGCGAGACTTAGGTAGCCGAGTGATTGTCAACAAATCTGAAATGGTAAGTTTAGTCGTTGTTTCTTGTTTTATTTATCCTAAGCGCACTACATGGTTAAGAAAGCTCGACACAGCATTCATGATCATATCTCCTTTTTACTGTATCGACCTTGATTAAGATACACGAGCATTAGTTGCCCATTTTAACATTTGAGTTTGGAAAATATTTTTAAAATAATTTCAAAAATTGATTAGCCTAGCCTAGGCTAGAGACTTTTTGCATTGAATTTCACCAGCTTTCACCGTCCTACTTACCAACGAAGAAGTCCCAAATCCCTCTCTTTCGGTGTTAATTTTGGGATTGTTCATCAGCCGAGCTCGTCATGATGCCTGAGTGATGAATAGAGTTTCCTCTACAAACTAATAAGCTATTTAGAAAAAAAAAATTTCATTCTGTGCGGTTGTGTGACAACCAGGTAGCTTTGTTTATGAGGCTAAGCCCGTTCAAATATTTTGCTTAGATAGTAGTGTTGTCGTGATTAGTCGATACATCTCAATATACATCGCCAAAAGTGATTCTGGCGATGCATCGATGTCTGGAACAAAACATAGATGTTTTGGGAAAAAATTTAATCTGCTAAAAATCATCTTTTCTTATCTCTTTTTCCTGCAAATGTCTTACATTTCTCATTCCTTAGTTCATTTACATATGTTCTCTTATATTTTTCTTACTTTAAAAATGTCTAAGCTTGTCTAAATGAACCATTTTCCATACATCGTTACCAGAAGTACCGAAGTACTATTACTTATTTGTTGCGTTCAGTATTTTATTGCATTTACATTCGGTATTTTAGTGGACTTTTTCTCCAACCTTTTCCCGATGTACATCGCGATGTTTACTCCTGAAAATTGCTGATGCATCGATGTACGATTATGGCACATCGCGACAACACTAATTGATAGTAAATACTTAAAACATTTTTTAGTTTTTGGTGCTTCAATGCCACCTGTTTAAAGTTTCTGGAGCTTATGTATACATTATACATACATTTCAGCCATCAGAGACAATTCCTGTCAGGGTCGTGGCCCGAGTACGTCCATTCTCCAGTGACGAAGAGAAAAAAGGAGCAAAGAAAATAGTGCAAGCAGGTGGTGACAAAATTGTAATTGAAGCTGCTGGAAAGGTACAACTAGAGCATTATATTTGTTAGTCTGTGTTTTAGAAGGTTTCTAACCTAACAATGATGATTTATTAGCTGTTTAATTAAAGAATATTCATTTCATATCCAGGTACATGTATTGTAAATTCTGTAAGTGGAACATCACCTCACAAGTTTTTTACTTGTTAGGCCAGGTTTTGAGGTCTGCCTCGTACAGAAGTTCATTTACATATTAAATCAATGAGTCATGGTTTCACTTATAGAGGTGTTCCAGAGTTCTCCACATTTAAAAAAAAATATTGATGAAAAAATGTGAAATAAGATGGTAATTTTTATAAAACGTTGTGCTTATCTTAGGTGAGTGGTGCAACTTGTACCAGAATGATAGAATCAGCACTCGATATTGCTTCTTTTGTCCTGAGTGTATAATGTACATTGTAGATGTAGGAGCCGACCCTTATTTTTATTTCCTCGTTCAATTATAAAACATGACTTTTACTATTTTCTTTCAGTCTCAGAGTTACAGTTTTGACAGCTGCTATTCCTGGGAAGTTAAAGGGGTGAGTAAAGTATTTGATTTAGGTTTAATAAATGACTTTCTATAGATGAATAGATGGCATTAGTGGTTTGTTTGGGCTAGAACATCATTACGTTTTATATTGAGAGAATTTACTCATTTTATCATATATATATGGAGAAATGTAAAAGTTTATTGACATGCAACTGCACTGCATGTAGATGGTCATGTAGACATATATTTATTATACAATATTATTTTTTCCAGAACCAAATCTACAAACAGACATGTGATCCATTACTTAAGAGAGCCCTTGAGGGCTACAATGTTTCTATCATTGCATTTGGAGCGGTAAGTTATGATTACAGGCATTATGTTTACAGCCTTTATGTTCACAGCTGTTACATTTACAGCCATTATGTTTGCAATATTATGTTCATAGCTATTGTGCTTATCACCATCATGTTTGCAACCATTATGTTCACACTAACAATTATGTTTACAGCCATTATGTTTGCAACTATTATGTTCACACTAACAATTATGTTTACAGCCATTATGTTTGCAACTATTATGTTCACACTAGCAATTATGTTTACAGCCATTATGTTTGCAACTATTATGTTTAAAGACAATTTGTTCACAGCTGTTATGTTTTCTGCCATTATGTTTGCAACCATAATGTTTACAGTTATTATGTTTACAACCATTATGTTTACAGCCATTATGTTTGCAACCATTATGTTCACAGCTATGTTGATAAATGTTTTGACAAAATTTATGCCTGGCCCTTTAGAGTGTCTTCCATCGAACACATGATATTATATGACATGTTAAACTTTCATTTTATGAAAAAAAATATCATAAGAATGTATCTTATTCATCTTGCTTTATGTTATACAAATAATGAATTCTGTGGAGTCGAATATCTGTATTCTAACTCTTCACATGTTTTCTAAGCAGGGAGACATGGAATACCTCTATATATTTTTAGTCACATGGTATCTAATTGACCAATGAGAGAACAAGTATCATGGCATGGTAATTGTTATTGTCCTTTCAGACTGGATCAGGAAAAACCTACTTGATGTCAGGGACAGAGGATGACCCTGGGATTATACCATGTGTACGTAATATTTATAATATGTTCATTTTTTGATAATCCATTAATTGCAGTACATTAAAAGACAAGCCACAATGTGTGCACTGTGTGGTTTGTAAAATGTATAGCATTGTATATTTATAAGATAACTAGAAAAACTTATTTTGCAATTTCTAATGAATGACACATTTAGTGTAGGTAATAATTTTTATTAGATTTATAATAGGGAGATTAAGCTATACTTTTTTGAGAACTTTTGCATGAACGACTAGAATTATGGTTAGTTCTCTTCTTCGTAATATCTACTTGCTCAATTGAGTATGAAAATGTTAAGGAAAAACAGATCCCTGAGAGGACTATCCCCAGTAAATCAATTGAGAAGGATCATAATTTTACATGTTTACTTACAAGTCTCCTTAAAAATGTGTAGCTTAACCATTCATGTTGTATGAATCTTGCCTGCTATTATAGCAAAATCATCCTATTGAATGCACATGTACCTTTCTGAGCCCTAAAGACTTAATTTTATTAATCCAAAGATTCTTTTGTTATATTGAGTGTCAACATCACAGTGAATTTTTCATCTCGTTTTTGCCATTGTGTTAGATATTTCTTTAGAACAGTATCACTGTCCTCAGTCTGATCGTACACTGCCATCCATTGAAGTTTTATATGTGCAGAAACCAATAATCTGTTATGAAATGTTTTAGTTGAACAAGAGCCTCTTCAAACACATAGAAGAATCCAAAAACAAAGAATTCTTTGTGACTGTCTCCTCACTGGAGGTAAGTTTTGTTTATTATGTCCCCCCCAAAAACAAAAAAACACCCCATTTCCACAAAAAGGCTGGGTAGATAGGGTGAGGCAGCAAGATGTCTCTGGACTGTATTTCACTAGGCGGCAATGCTGGCTCTCCATTCTTTTCAAATCATTTTGAAGCATTTCTTAGATCAGTGATGGTGGGCTGTTTTCAGATTAATGATACAAATCACTTGGATGTAAACGCTTCATGAATGAATTTTTCCAATTCCATCTCTAAATGCATCCATTTTTCATTCTCTGTTCAACGCTGATGCACTAAATCAAATTGCATTTTCTCGAAATGTCCTCTACAACTACACAACAGTAGTTATATTGAAAACTATAAAATTAGAATGCATGCAAATAAATCAGCTTGATATTGGAACACATTTCTTTAAGATCGTTTTTTATCCACACAAATTATTCACTGTTGATTAATGAAACTTAATCAATATGCAAAAATAAAACTTGAATTATTTGTATTATAGATCCTCGATGAACAGATGACAGACATGTTGAATCCCCATAGCAACCAGATGAAGGTCAGAGTTCATCCTCAGCTTGGAATGTAAGTGGCATTAAGTTAGTTAAGTAAACTTATTTTTCCATCAACCCATTGTGTACCCCATAGGACAAATATGGCTAAAGCTTGATAAAAAATAGATTTTCCATTCTTTTAGCTTTTCTGTCTAGGTTTTATATTGTTCCTGTGCTTTAATTGTCATTAAAAACATACAGATAGTGTACATGTACTCTCATGTTTAAGTGAAATGGTATATTGATGACATGATCATCCAAACATTCAATGACCTCTCTTATAAAAAATTTACAGATTGATTTTGCGAATTATAAATCCACATTGCATTATTTAATCCAGTGTAACTTTGCATTTGTAGTTTTGTTGATGGATTGTCAGAACTTGTTGTTCGCAGTGGAGAAGAACTTGCCAAATACTATGAACAAGCAAACAGAGCTCGTAAGATGGGAGCCACTGATCTAAAGGCCCATAGAGCAAGGTTTGTAATGTGTACCTGTCTATAGCTAAATGATTGAACATTAAAATGAAAAATAGTCAAACGTGTGTTAGTGGCATTCCTTTTGTACCTCAAAATTATGTTTCACCGACGTGTTTGGTTTCAGTTAGAGTGACTGAAATTGATATTGAACATGTGAGAGGGCTGAAAGTTGCAATTTTTTCATAGATCATATTTTTATCACACTTTTTCAAAGTACAATATTGTCCTCTTCTTTGATGGGTGGGCTGGTGGATGCCACATAAGTGTTTTCATCAAAATTCCAGAAAAATCACCTGTTCTGATCTTGGGCATGCTGGAAAAAATACATGCTGGGTAACTGGATAAAAGCGTGGTATTGATCGCAGTGTATCTTGTTAATTCTGAAACAGGAGTATGAACTTTTCGGCTTTAACAAAATAGCAATGATGAATGATTGTGTTGCAAAATACATTGAGTGCAAAGTTGCTTGCTATGAAATTTTCAGGTCACATGGAATCTTCACGATTACTGTTGAACAACGGGAAAGTAATTCTAGCAGGATGGGCGTTAAATCTACAATCTCATTGGTCGATCTTGCTGGGATTGAAGGAGCCGAAAGTCAAGACAAAGGACAAGCTAAAAGGTAACTTTATCAGAAAACAGGATTTGGATTTTAACAAAATGTTATGCAACTATTTCTCAATTGTTGCTTTATGGACTTGTGCAGTATTATAGTTATATTTGCAAAATAACAATGCAGTGGATATCCTTTTTTTTAATGATACAATTAATACCAATAATGTATAATGAGTTATGTTTTAATCATTTTCCATTTGTTTTTAAAAAATACATTTTTACGAGTACAGATTTCAAAATTTAAAGTTTTAATAGTGCCTTCAAAATTACGCTTAATACCATTATTCAGTTCTTGAATATATGTTTTATATATAACAAATGACACAATACTTATAAAATAGTTTAAAAATTCAGTATGATTGTCATTTCCATTGTAACCAATTATCAATTTTCTGTAAGTTACTCTTAACCCTGAGATATTATAAATATGTTTCCAAATGTTTTGAGAATAGGAGCATGAAAATAACAAATGTTTCAAGGTACATAATTCATTACATAAACTACATTTGTAGGTTTCACTTTTACCAAATATATATAAATCACTAAGGCTAGGAAGAATATTGTTGATTATTTTAAAGTTGAAATTACCTATTTTCTTTTCTTTACAACTAATTTTTGTAGAGAAAAAGTTTTGCCAATTTATTTCATCATTGGCTTCATAGCAAAACTCTTGTTCCCATTTCCTTTTCATAAACCATTTTTCCGATCGTTTGTTTTTTAATATTTCATAAAAGAATTTGGATTTCTGATTATTCACAGTGATAATCACATTATTTATATTAAATTTAAAAGTATTATGAATATTTGTATACTTGACAGATTCTAAATTGAATCTTTCTTTCAGTGTGCCCATGGCTGATAAAACTCTGTAATATTCAGATATCCAATTTTGTTTATTTACAAGTTTTTGATATAACATATTAACATCAAGGAACCTGTTCTGAATTATCAAGTCTTTTATGTATATAATTCCACTTTTGATCCATGATTCAAAGAAAATTGGTTTATTTTTGACGGTGAATAATTTGTTTCCCCATATAACCTCTTGCAAGAGTTCATGTTGCTTCATATCTCTTATATTTTTGATGCATTTACATAAACAATGTGCTTCCAGCACTTGTTGATAAAAAAGTGGAACATTTTCAAATTCTTTGAATCTAGTATCATTTATCTTGAATAATACATCTATATTTGGAAGAAATTTATTGAAATAGAAGTAAGGGATTTTATTGTACATGTTTTGATTATGCAAACGGGGGATCCATGCTGCTTTAAGTGCATGTATTTGAGACTCTAAGTCAATCATATTTATTCCACCCTTATTAATATTATTTATGATTATAGATCTTCTTATTTTGTCCTTTTTTCCATCCCATAGAAATTTAAATACAAGATTGTTTACTTTTTTTATAATCTCATGTGGCACAGATAATACTGATGCTGCATAAATTAATTTTGGAATTGCCAGTGATTTAATCACTGTTACTTTGCCAAAAAGTGTTAAGTATCGGTTCTTCCAGCTGTCTAATATTTTTCTACCTTTTTTACTCTATCTTCCCAGTTTAATTCATAACATCTTTGTTTGTTGTGTCCTAAAAAGATTCCTAAATATTTGATTGGTTCATCAGAAAAAGTTATTTTCACATTTCTTTTCAAAGTCCTTATTTTTTCCAAGCCAAATGCCTTCAGTTTTTTCTATGTTTAACTTCAGACCAGAAAATTTTGAGAAATTGGAAATAGTATTAAGAGCATTTTTCAATGACTCTTTATCTTTAATGAAAAGTGAAGTATCGTCCGCATATTGGGACATCTTATATTCTTTACCATCAACAGTTATACCTGATATATCATTATTTTGCTGAATTGCTAAGTTCATAACTTCGCAACATAAAATAAATGCCATTGCGGAAACGGGGCAGCCCTGCCGACATGAGCGTTCAACATCAATATTTTTTGATAACCATCCATTTTGCTTAATGTTTAAGAAAGGTTTTTCGTATAAAAGTTTGAGCCATTTGATAATCTTATCACTGAATTTAAATTTTTTCAACGTTTCATACATAAAATTCCACTCTATACTATCAAACGCTTTTTGGAAGTCAAGAAAGATTATAGCGCCACCTATCTGATTTTGATTTTCAAAATATTCAAATACATCTAATACCAGTCGGCTACTATTTCCTATAAAACGACCATTAATATAAGCCGTTTGTTGCATACCAATTAATTTACCTATAACCTTTTGAAGTCTTTTTGCCAAGATAAAAGCTAAAATCTTATAATCTGTATTAGATAATGATATTGGACGATAATTTTTTAATAGTTCACGGTCTCCTTTTTTGAATAACAAAGATATGATAATTTTACGAAATGATGTTGGTAAGATTCCAACTTCATATGACTCATTAATTGCTTCTATAACATAAATATGTATATCTTTCCAAAAGCATTTATAGAAGTCAGTGGTTAAACCATCTGATCCTGGGGAAATATCTTTTTTCATACTGGAAATAACAGGTAAACACTCACTATTATTGATAACACCTTCAAGGATGTCATTATCTTGTTTATCTAATGTATTAGGAAAGTTAATAGAATTCAAATAATTTTTACTTTATTGGTTGGTTGGGATTTTGATCTATATAATTCGCTATAGAATTTAATTTCTTCTTTCAAAATATCCTCATCTAATCTAAGTATACCATTTTCTGATTTCAATGATGTAATTGTATTATTTGCCTGACGTGCTTTTTCTAAATTCAGAAAATATTTTGAGTTTTTATCTCCAAATTCTATATCTTGCTCTTTTGACCTTAAGATGGCACCCTTTGTTTTGCTTTCAAGGTCTTTTTCAAAAATAGATAAAATTTCAAGCTCTCTAGCTTTTGTAGTGTCAGAAGTATGATCACTACTCTGTATTAAATCAAGCTCTTTATTTAGAACATGTAATTTTTTCTTTGAAATTGAACATTTTTTGATTGAGAATTGAATTGCAAATTCTTTAATTTTGACTTTCAAAAATTCCCATTTTAATTGTTTTGAGTTAATCTGGTTTAATTCATGTTCATTTATATTTCTAATCAACCCTTTTACTTCGTGTACAAAAGTGCTATCAAGTAAAAGAGAATTATTGAATTTCCAATAACCAGGACCTCGCATATTTTTACTTGTATCTAACTTCATCATGAGACATTTATGATCTGACATTGGATAGTGATGCTTCGTTCTTGATATAACTTTGAATTGAGCATCTTTATTATATAATATGTAATCAATTCTTGATTTAGCATTTTTTCCTTTTGATATACATGTATAGCCAAAATGCTTAAATTCATCATTGACATTGAGATATCTTATCAGGTTTTCTAATTTTAATCTGCTATTGTCAGTTTCTATTGTCTTTGGAAATTTGTCATCTTTGGTAAGATAACAATTTAAATCACCTGCTACTATAATGTTGTTGTTAAATGTTGCAAATTGTATAATCTTTTTAGACATTTGTGTAAAAAATTCTGCCCTACCAGTATTTGAATTTGGTGCATACATATTAACAAATGTAAATAAATTATCATTAATTTTCACATTGATAAGTAACGACCGTGCATCAGCACTTTTAAAGCAGTCTAAAATATCAATAGAAAATCGTTTATGTATCAATGTAGAAACACCTCTGCTGTGTGTACTGTTAGTACAATTGTGTACACATAAATACTCAGACCACTCATTTTCAATCAAATATGTCAAATTTTCAGTACAGAAAGTTTCCTGCAACATAATTATATCAGCATTTTTTTCATTAAAATATTTCAATGTTTTTAAACGTTTAGATTTGTCATGTAGCCCTCTTATATTGAGGGTTAAAATATTTAGTGTTTCATTCATTATAATGATATTATAAAAATCAGTGTTTGTAACACAAAATTGTTTGTGTACAATATTGAATCCTAAATAAATCAAAAATCATATTGATCTGCACTGTCAAACTCCTGTAATCATATATTCCAGGTACAAATGCTAAAGCAAGTACAATGAAGTTAGCATTGCATGTACTCCAATTTAGTCTTTTTGCACTGGCATTTAAAATATGTTGTCCACTTGCCAAATGAATTAATACTACATATAGGGGGTGTACCATTTGCCTATTTGTCATTGATGAATTTTTTTAATTTGGACTTAGTTGACTCTCCAATTTGTCGTCCTACTTTATTCGGAGGTTTCTCAGTAGGGGATTCTTCTGCAGTCCTCTTTTGGGAAGATGACCTGCTTGGTGTAGATGCAGATCTAATTGCAGATCCCACTGGGTGTTGTGGACGTGATATGTGTCTTGCCGGTTCATCAAGATTTGTAGATTTGTTCTCTGTGCATTCTTTACGAATTTGCATGAGAATACTGCCAATCATGTTGGCGCCAGGCCATTTCTTAGGGTCTGTGCATTTGGATATGCAGTGGATATTGTATTTGCAAAATTGTATTTTGTACTTGCTGGATAATATATTTAGCTTGAAAATTGTGCTTGTAATATTGTATATGTACTTGCATATGTTGTAGCATACAAGCAGTACTAAGTGTATTGTCAGCTTTAGGGGACTCCAAGAAGAAAGGAGGACATGTTCCATATAGGGACTCAGTTGTCACTAGACTTCTACAGGTATGTTAAGCTTACAATTATTTTCATGAGCCTAAATTTATGAAGAAAAATGACAGACTGTTAGAACAGTGCGGATGTTGGTCTATTACCTTAGTGACTTCTCAGATACATTTTCCCTGTTCTAATGCCTGTATATAGTATATGTTAGCACATGACATGACATGACATGACATGACATAAAGTGGTGTCATTGCTCTATACATCAATTTACCAACTGGAGTCAACATTGGAATGAAGCTACCAAAAGTGGTAACATATTGTGACGGAACGTGGCGTCTGGGCCGAGCGGAAACCCGAGTGTCACTTTAAAACTCTCACGTGGTATGAGAGCCGGCGGGGAACGTCTGTTGGTGAAAGGATTTTGTTGTGTTGATTTTTATTATCGTTCTGCCACTGATATTATACAAGTAGAATAACAAAGAATGACAAGGGAAATATAATTACTTTGATAAATGTAAAATGATCAATTTAAATTGGAGGAATATGTGAATGAAGAATGATGATAATGAATGGTTTGGCCAATATTTAAATTCTACAACACGGTAGGCTCCTAGCGACTTGAGCTCCAGAGCAAAATACTATATTCAAACTAATGGCTCCACAAATCTCAATACACAAAATGAGCAAGCAACAGGCTCCGGAGCAAAATGTAGTGCTCAAATAAATGCCTCAGTCAGGCTCCAAACACAATTAGAGCCATTTACCAGCTCCGGAGCAAAATGTAATGCTCTCAATGAATCGATAAATCAATGAGCCTTAAAGCAAAGCAGGCTCCAGATCAAAATGCAAGGCTCCGAATTAATAATCAATCAAGCAGGAGCTCTCAATGGGCTCCGGAGCAAAGCACAATGCTCCAAATCAATAGTTAAACAGCAAAACAGGAGCTTTGAGAGCAATTAAGTACCTATTGCATATGAATTACTACTACCTTGGTTATACCAATTAAGTCACATAGCAATAGTCTTACACTACCTTGCCTCTTTGGAATAAATTCCTGCTCCACACAAGTGAAATTGGCTCCGGAGCAAAACGCAAGGAGCAGTTTTGGTAGGAGCAATTTGTTACAGATATGGCCAATCTTTAGACAAAAAAATATGAATGTTGTAAATTGTCGCAAATATGAATGTAATGAGATTGGAATAATTAACAGTAGCACTGGGAATTAAGGATAAAAATAATGAATATGCGAAATGTTTAAATTGATGGAAATACTGGGATAAAGAATTGGTAATAGCGAATGCTAATAAATGGAATATTGGAAATAATGGACTGTGAATTGATTGAATGAAGGAAAGATGTAAAATTGAATTTATTTCCCTTATCACTCTTGAATTGCAATGGAAATAAAGCAGTAAATGTGGACTAGATTGACTCACTTTAGCTTCACTTGTTTATATCAAAACAGACACAGTGAATTTAAATGAACACATAACAAGACTTTATTGTAATAATTACCTTATATCAGAATACATAGTCACAAGCAGCGTTGAGCGACTTTCAGGCTAACAACGTATCTCCGTGTAAACGCAAGATATATCCAGTTATGTTCAATATAAATCCACAATAATACGATCACCAGTAGCACAAATATCCAGCGTAATTTAATACAGCAATATAAATCCAAAATCTGTTATAAATCCAATGATACATGATATGAATATGATCTTAGAGAAATGTACGCCCTCGTACATACACACAAAATTAGAAGCGGAAAGCATTTTTCTGACAAACTCATAAATGTAAATACAATGTGAACTTTCAATCACTTAATCTACACTATGAACTCCTTACATGAGCCTGTTTCCAATAAATCATGTCACTTACATTTGTAACAATGTAAAGTACAAAATATTTTCATGTGGAGCAAACAGGATAAAAGTTTACTTATATCAAAATGTTACTAAGTGTATCCCTAACATCCGGTCTTTGAGCTTGAGTATACAACAGTTCTATTAGCTCCATTAGATTTCTTGGAGCCACTTTGTCATCTTTGTCGTGTTGAACGGAAGATTTAATCTCCACTGTCTCTGTCTCTATATCTGTATTGTCACTGAGCTCTTTCTCATTATTGTTCTTATCAATGGAATTGTCTTGTTTTGGCTCCTCTTGATCTGATAGAAGTACTTGTCGGGTGTCACTGTTACTATGATCATGTTTTCCTGGTTCCTCAGTATCCTTTGATTTGAAAGCAGGCGCTTTGGTGCAACCCCTTTTGTGAAGTGAGACAGTTTTGCGTTTTGCAAACGATTTTTGACACCAATGGCACACATATCTTGCCTTCCCGGGGTTTCGGGGCTTGGCTTTGGCCTGATGCGCCCGCACACAGTGTCTATTTAGGTTAAACTTTTTTGAAAATGTTTTTCCACATTGATGGCAAGCAAATCTATCCACATCAGATTGGCTTGCATATAAGTCAATGGTCGGAGGAGCGGATGTGTCCATCTTTGATCGCTGTAAAGATATACTAGTATCCTCTGTGGTTGGAGCAATTGTGGCCACTGACACTGACACTGGAGTATCAATTGATGTCACTGTAGTGTTTTCCTTGGATGCAACGGTAGTAGTTACCGTCGCCGGCTTAGGCGATATATCTGGGAAGTTGTTTGTAGTCCCCATCATGGCAGATGCTTGCATACAAGCCCTTTGGTAATCCCAATATGGTGACATGCCAGGTGGCATTTGATGTCCTGGCCATGGTGGAAAGTATGGGTTGGGAAACCTCGGAGCCCGTGGTTGCCAACCTCTCCTCTTTGTGTTGCCTCTCCTGGATCCCCTGGAAATAAAATCCTCCTGTTCAGAATCTGAACTGGAGACATCATTACACATTAACACATAATCAGTGGCAGAACGAACATAGTTATCTAAATAGCTCGGAGTCTTTCGCGACCTTGCGGTTTTTCGACGAGCTTTCGGAGCATTTGACATTTTATCATTTACCGAACTATTATCATTGTTAGTGTTGGATGAGCATTCATCTAGCTCTCCTCCAGATTTTGAAGGAGGCACAATGGTCTCCAACTTTGTCTTTATTGCTTTTTCCTCTTTTTCAAATAAAGAAGAGGGCTTACTATCTTGCTCCTTTGTTCTGCCACAAAGATCCAATAATGGAGAATCTGGGATCTTCTCATGAGTTAGAACTTTACTTTCTATTTTACATTTTTCCCATGAGGATGGAAGCTCCCCTTGGTATTTTTTCAACTGATCAAAATGAATGATCTTGGGCTTTCCTCCCTTGGGATCAACTATTTTATAAATTACATCGGATATCACTCGCACTATTTTCCAGGGCCCAATCCAGCGACTCTGAAATTTGGGAGTGATACCTTTTTTCCGCTTGTGATTTTTAAACCACACCGCATCTCCTTCAACATATGATTTACCGGCAACTTGTCTATTATAGTTACGCTGTTGCCTCTCTTGGCTCATTTTTAATCTCTTTCGTGCATGCTCATGCACATTTGACAAACGCTCCCGTAACTCAGAGACATAATCTCCATGTTTTGTATCATCATCTGGGAGCGGGTCTACAATAACATCAAGGGGAATTCTCAATTCTCTCCCAAGCATCATTTGAGCAGGAGTTTCACCTATAGACTCCTGTTCTGCAGTTCTATAAGCCATTAAAATAAGAGGAACTTTCAAGTCCCAATCTAATTGGTCCTCGTCATCTTGCATGAGTTTAGCAATTCCATCTAACAGAGTACGATTAAATCGTTCAACTAGACCATCACTTTTAGGATTAAATGGAGTGGTACGAGTTTTCTCTATCCCAAATATGTTACAAACTTCAGCCATTACTGCCGATTCAAAATTTCTTCCCTGGTCACTGTGAAGTGCCATCGGGAGACCAAATCTAGAGAAAACTTCTTCTACCAACTTAGAAGCAACAGTCACTGCCTCCTGGTTTGGAACTGCAAATGCTTCTGGCCATTTAGTAAAATAGTCAGAGCAGACCAAAACATATCTGTTTCCTCTATTAGAGATTGGGAAAGGCCCTAGAATGTCTATGGCAAAACGCTCCATGGGCTCCCCAACTACATATTGCTGTAGTGGTGCTCTTGGTTTATTCTGAGGATTTTTCCTAGCACCACAAGTGTTACAGGCTCGACAGTATGCACGAACATCAATATGCTGTCCATGCCAATAGAATCTGACTCTAGTTTTCTGGTATGTCTTATTCACTCCAAAATGCCCTGAGCTAACATCGGAGTGTGAATATTTTAACACGGTCTCTTTCATGGACTTGGGAGTTATGATTTGAAGAGTACTCAAAGTTCCCTCAACATTCTCCCAGAGGCGACATAACACACCATTTTTAATCACTAGTCGATTCCATTGAGCCCAGTAAGTTTTTGTGATTTCAGACTTACTACTTATGACTTCCCATGGGGGCCTGTCACTGGAGGCTTTTAATGCCTTCCATATCGGGCTGATGTGAGGATCTGCACATTGTGCCTCACTTATATCGTTTAATGTCCATTCGGGAATCATAGACACACTATGTATAAGATCTTTCTGCTCCACCAGAAACTTCTGTGAAGCTTCTCTTGGAGGAGTTAGATACTCACTAACATTATTATCAGAGATGTCTGGTTTTTCTGGATAATTTCTCAGATATCCACAAACAGTTTCATGATTAGACCGATTGAAGCAACGGTCTTTCTTGAGAGCATCTTTTTGCTCTGCTTTACCACACTGACGACAGGGAGCACGAGACATCGCATCTGCGTTTAAGTGTTTGCTCCCTGGCCTGTGTTCAATAACAAAGTCATACTCTGCAATTACCTCAAACCATCTGGCCAACTGGCCCTCAGGCTCTTTAAAGTTGGTAAGCCAGCGTAAAGAGGAGTGATCAGTTCTCAATTTAAAATGCTGCCCATACAGATGCTGTCTGAAATGTTTCAAATAATTGACAACAGCATATAACTCACGTTTAGTGGTGCAGTAGTTACGCTCAGTTTGCGACAAGCACTTACTGGCAAAGTGTAATGGCTGTTCCT